CGTTGCATCCCCAGGCAGCTCGTGGACGGCATCTTCAAGACGCAGATCGTCAAGGTCGCGACCGCCGCCCCAGCGGGGCTGGCCAATTCGCGTCGAGGCGACGCGGGCCTGGGCGAGGCTCTGGCGGCTCGGGCTTGCGGCCAGGATTTCGCGCAGCAGGGCGTGGTCCAGCATTTCTCGTCTCGCCGAATGGTGGGGCGCGAGATCCAGGCGCTCGCGGCTAGCGGCTATCACGGCGACTTCAAGCTCGAGCGAGTTGAAGGCCAGGCTCCTGGCGATCACCGAGGGCTGGGTGGCGGCGCAGGGCTTCTGTGGTACCTTTCGGCCCCTTCTCCTGTGAAGCGACTGATGTTCATGTCCTTGGGCAGTGGCGCGGCCCGCCGGCGTGCGCTCGTCGCTCCCCGGCGGGTGGCGCAGCCCGCGCGGGCGTGCGACGTGTGCAGGTTATGACAGCGCGTGAAGTATGTTGGCGCTGGAACTTACCTCCCCTCGCGATCGGCGGCCGCGGTTCAACGACTGCGTGCATGGCCAGCGGTGGCGCGTGCGCCGCCCAATCATGTTCGCTGTCGGTCCATCTTTTTCGGCGACGCGCAGTGCGGCGCGAGGGGCGACTGCCGCTGCCCGCCATCGCTGCTCGTCGTCAATGGCGCATCGTCATCGCCGAGGCGGTCGCCCATCTTTGGGCTCGCCAGCTGCGCCGAGACATTGAGGTCACGTGTAGCTGCCTTGAGGCGGAGCCCTTGCAGGAGGCGTGGAGGTCTGGCCCGATGCGAGTCCTGCCGCGGGACAAAGGGGCCATTTGTCTCTTCGCCTCGTTCGACCCGCGGTGGCTTCGTAGCGCCGTGGCTGCAGTCCAGTCTGCCGCGCCCGCGTGCCTGGCGAAGACTGCGCGCGCGACTCAAGATGATGCGACGGCCTGGGGAAGCACAGATGCCGAAGTCTGTGCATGCACGATTCTCCCCGATCAAGATGGCCCGATTTCTGGGCGACAGATTCGCTCGCGCGTTGTGCTCGTCGAGCATATTGCGAAGGCCTTACGGCCGGTGCCGCCGACCGACGACGGCGACGACGACGAGGACGACGACGACGAGCGCTCTTGGGGGCCTCTTGGGGGTAGTTTGTGGGCCTCTTGGGAAGCTATCAGGGGCCGCTTGGAAGCCTCGTGGGGGCCTCTTGGGGATTCCTGGGGGTCTCTTGGAGGGGGCCTGGGACGTCTTGGAGGCTTCTTGGACGGTCTTGGGGCTATCTTGGGCGTTTTCGGCAGATCTTTGGGCGACTCGGGGCCCTCTTGGGCCGTCTCGGGGGCCATCTGGGGCATGCGGACCACATTTGGAGTGCTCTCGAAGTTTCTAGGCCGCCCGAGGAAAATCGAATCTGCCCCCCCCCCCCCCCCCCCCCGGGACCCCCCCCGGGACCCCCCCCCCCCTGGGGAAGGGAACAAAGGGAAGGGGCACCCTTCGACTCGATTACGACACTGCTCGATTTTTCTTTCGCTCACGAGCTTGAGAAGGAAGCTGCAGGGAAAGGGGGCGACGGAGGCGACGACCGACGGAGACGACGACTCGAACAGCCAAGCCCCTCGCACACGCCGACAGGGTCGGCGGATTTGCCAGCTGTGGCGGCCTGGGCAGGGGGGCAGATCATGTCCAACATGCTTACGCCGAGTGACGCGTAGAGAAATTTCTGCACGGTATTTCAGGGCAGGGGCGCGGCGGCGAGGCACTGGGCACCGTTGTTGCACGCGGAGCGGTGAAATGATGCAGAACGCGGCGTGCCCGAACATCTTCGAACATTTGAGTGCCCATGTGCGCGCAATTTGCCGTGCCGCGCTCGACAGTTGCAAGCTTCGACGTGGTCGCTGTGCTCTCGCCTGCCGTTGGCGCAGGGGGTCCGCGGTCGCGCCGCCGCCAATTCTTGCGACGCCCCGCCGTCGACGTCGCCCTGTCGTGGCGCCGCCTGGCTTTGCCCCGAGGCTTCGGGGCGGCGCGATCCGCGCGGCCGCCAGCCTCTGCGCCCCGACTGCTCCGAGGGTTCGACGTGGTCGCTGTGCTCTCGCCTGCCGTTGGCGCAGGGGGTCCGCGGTCGCGCCGCCGCCAATTCTTGCGACGCCCCGCCGTCGACGTCGCCCTGTCGTGGCGCCGCCTGGCTTTGCCCCGAGGCTTCGGGGCGGCGCGATCCGCGCGGCCGCCAGCCTCTGCGCCCCGACTGCTCCGAGGGTTTCGGGCGCGCCTGCCGGCGGCCTGCGCGTCGCAGACGGAGGTCGAGAAGAGCGGCCGCTGGCGCCCAGGCAGGAAGGCGGGCTCGGCAGCTGCGTCGGCGAGTGGCGGGACATGCTCCAGAGGCGAAGGAGCTCAGGGCGACCGCGAGAAGTCGCGGGCCGAGGGCGGCCAAGGATCGCTCGCTGCGCAGCGGGGGCCGAGGGCGCAGCGGCCGAGCCTCGGGCCCGCCGTGGAAGCCGACGCCGCACCGAGGCCTGGGGGGGGGAAGTTCGCGACGAAGAACGAGGGCCTGAAGCAGTTGCTCTGGTTGCTGGCCATGCAGGTGGCTCAGCCCGCGCAGAAATCGAGCGGCGCGAGGGGTCACTGCGCGCGCCGTGCTGACGGACGAGAAGAGCGAGGCGGCGGTGGCGACGCAACAGGGGTCGGAATGCTTCGCCTCCCACGCTGCCAGGCTTCGGACGCGCGTGGGGCAACTCAAAGAGGAGGCCAAGAAGGCGCAGAACAAGGGCGCGACGTCGGCGAAGGAGGCGGGGGCCGCTGCCGAGCGGCTCGCGACGGAGCTTCGAGGCCTCGGGCCGCCAGCGCCAGCGGTCCACGCGGCGATGGCGAAGTGCTTGATCGGCCAGGAGATCGGCGAGAAGAACCGCCAGATACCCGGAGCGCTCAGGCCGGAATTCGAAGAGCGCCAGCCGCAGCGCGTTCGACCTTGCCGTTTGGGGAGCTGCACGGGCCAGGGCATGATCAATATCGTCTCCGCCCTGGACGACGGTGCGAAGGGCCAGCTGATCACCGAGAGCTTCGAGGCCACGGGGGCCGCCGTCGCCCTGCAGATGGCCCCAGCGGGGTGCTTCGAGGAGGAGATTCCGGCCTGGATCGACGCGCTGACGAGCTGGGGCCTAGGCTGTCACCGGGCCCCGCCCGAACGCCGAGGGGCGCCTTCCTCGCTCTGCGCCGCGGGGAAAATGCAGGGGTCATCCCGCCCTCCTTCAGCGTTGACGGTGGACGGGGAGTATGTCAATGAGTGAAGGTTCGCTTATCGCGTGCGCGCACGCACTGCGCCTGAGTCCATCGAGCGTCTGGCGGCACAGCCGTGCGCACCTGGCAAACAGGTAACCCATGGGGGTGTGGACGGCGGGCGCTGTTATGATTATATTCCGCATTTTTGGCCCGTTCCCTTTCGTTCGCCTCTCTCATCGCCTCTCGATCGCGGCAAATCGGCCTTTTCTTCGGTCCTCGCTCGGCCCTTTCGACGGCGGTGGCCCCCGCGCTGGCATGAAACAAGCCATGCCCCACACCTTTTGGAATACCTCTTGTGCGTGAGGGGTGTCGGACAACTGCTCCTGGCCGCCCATCGCCGGTCAAGGTTTGAATATTTCGTGAGCCCTATTGCTCGCGGCGTGTCCCATGAAGCGTGGGGTATTTTTCCATGCGCGGCGCGCTCCGCCTCGGACCGTGCGCCTCTGCGAGTGGTTTATTGCTCTAATTTCTAACTGCCCGATAGCCGTGTGCAAGCAAGCGAACTCCTCTTCCACCCGTCGCCTCCATACCCTTCCTTCCGCATCCCCCCCTCCATCCTCCCTCCCTCCCTCCTCCATCCCCCGTTCATCCCGTCATCCATCCCCCCCTTTTCATCCCCCTTCCATCCCCTCCATCCTGCCCAACCTCTGGCCCGCTTCCTCCCCGTTCCCCCCATTCCACCCCCACTCTTCCCCCAGCGTTTTCTTTCCATTTCCTTTCCTTCCTGGGAGGAGGGGGGAGCAATTGCATGCGAGGAATGATCGGGAGGCATGGGAGGCGAAGGTGGAGAGGATGATGAGGTGGGGGAGGAGAAAGGGGGGGAGGAGAGAGAGGGAGGGAGAGAAAGAGAGAGAGAGAGAGAGATGAGAGAACGAGGCGTAAGTATAACGGGACAGATGAGCATGGAGAAAAGGGTCAGGAGAAGGAGGATACGTAACCCATCCTGTTTTCCCTCTGGCTCCTTCCCCCCCGTCCTGCCATCTCTCGTCCTTTCCGGGCTCCAGTCGCCGCCGCCCTGGCCGATGCTGCCCCCCGTTCCTCCACCTCCCCTGTCTTTCTGAGGCCAGCCCTGCAGGTGGCCTGCCCCAGGTTGCGTGGGCGGCGTGACACGTGGCTCCCCAGGAGAAAAGGGAGGATGTGGGGATGCAAGGGGGAGAGGACGGACGGACAGAGGAGCGTCGCAGGGGCTGACGAAACAGGTATAAGGAGAGGGGAGGGATGATGATGATGATGATGATGATGATGATGATGATGATGATGATGATGATGATGATGATGATGATGATGATGATGATGATGATGATGGTGATGATGATGATGGGATAATAATCGTAGAGCATGAGTGTTGATGTGCACCGACAGTTTGGGGTGGGATCGTGGAATTTTCCTTGGAGCCTCGGAGCCCGCAGGGGCGTGCCAGCTTGTGGGGGGGCCTTTTCGCCGGTGGGCCACGTTCCCGGCCTGGCTCCCCTCGGCCCTCCAAAACGGGTGGGCTCGGTAGGTTTGGTTTTGGTTGCCCGTGAAGGCCCCCTGCCCTCGCGTGTTCTGCACGGCCTGCTCCGCAACCGTTTCATGTGGCTCCAATCTGGTACAGATTATCGCGAGGACTGGGCGCCCAGCCCACCTCGCAGCAGGGCGCGGCATGGCGCCCTGACGGGAGCAGCGGACTCCACCCGTGGAATCATAGATTGTGCGAGGCCGTGGCGCGCTGCCCAGGAGCAGCAGGCCGCGGCGAGCTGGTGTGCTGGACGCCGAGCGCCGCAGGCGCGACGACGCCAGGCAGAGCAGGATGGCAGTGTCGGCAGGAGCCAAGAAGGCGGGGACCGACGCGCTGCGGGCCGCTGGTGCTGACGTTACGGACGACGACGTCGCGAGCCTCGTCCTGAAAGTGAGGACGACGCTGAACGCGGGGCGGGCCCCCCGTTCGAAGCTGGAAGAGGCAAGACGACTGGAGGCAGCGCTGGACCCGGTGGCCATCCGCCTGGCGCTGGGGAACCCGGAGGTCCCGGGCTCTGAGATGGCCGAGGCCCTCTGGGGGTTCACTGAGGCCGCCACGTACGCCACGCAGGCGGAGAGCCGGATCAGGAGAGTGGCGGCCGACACCGATGGCTGGGAGAAGATCGCGGATCGGATCTGGGCCCGTGCAGTCGGCGACGACGGCGGCACGCTGCCCACCGACTGGCTGCTGCACCTGGGCATAGGGTTCCTCCTATCCAGCCTGGTGGTGGTGCTTGGGGCCGACTCCGGGCGGCACCGCCTGGCAGGCGCTGTTGTGGGGCTGTGTGGCACCGTCCTGCTAGTACGGCGCGTGCCCGAGCGTGTGGTTGCCTGGTGGGCACGCTGGAGGCGGCGCTCGGCCTTCGCCGCGGCGCTGAGGAGCGGCGGGGACGGCCTGGACCTGACCGCCGCCGAGGACGACTGCGCGGCCTGGGACGCGAAGGGGGCCCCGACGACCAAGGGGGGTGGCGCGGGGGCCACGGAGGTTCCTACTGGCCCGCTGCACCCCCCGGGGCTGGCAGCGCTGCCGCCGTCGCCGTGGGCCCCACCTGCCGAAGGCGTGGGCGGGGGCGCCCCGCCAGCAAAGCCCGGCTCGCAGGACCTGGCGGCGCTGCGGGCGTTCGGCCAGGGGTCCGAGGTGCCAGGCCCCTTCAGCCAGACGGCGGCCCTGCAGCAGCAGCAGCAGCAGCAGCCAGCAGCCGAGCCCAGAGGTAGGCGTGCCAACGTCGGGGCTCAGCTTCCACGCGCCCCATGCTCCTGCAGACGCGGTGAAGCTAGGGCGCGAGGTCCAGATGGTGGGCGCCACGCTGCGCGAGTTCCAGGCGCAGGCGGCCACGAACGTGTACTGGGCCTGGCACTTCTGGGAGAGAATCGCGGCGGTGGATGGCTCCATGGGGCTGCATCCTGACCTCCGTCGCGTGCTGCAGACCCACGGCTACGTGGGCGCAGGAACGAAGTCCCCGCCAGGTGGTTCGCTGCAGCAGGAGCTGGACGCGCTGCTCTCCTCCGCCACAGCGCCGCACGGCGGGGGCATGCACGCCTCCCCTGGGTGGGCCGTGGCCCCGGTGACCCAGCAGCAGCAGGAGGACAGCCGATGGAACCTCAGCCTCCCGCCGGACCTGCGGCGCGCGGCGCCGGAGATCTACCGCACCATGCGGGGCGCTGGGGCGGCTAGCGCTCGCGACTGGCTGTCGCAGGAAGTGACGGGCCAGCGACGCACGGCAGTTTGGACCGACCTGTGGACTGCCGCCACCAACGTGGACTACTTGCTGGGCGGGTGCAGGACCCAGTCCGAGCTGCTCACCCGCCTGGCGTCCGACGATGCGCTGGAGCTGCACCTGGGGCGGCTGGCGAGCTACGTCTACGAGATGCGGACGAAGGACAAGGTGGGTGCGGCGGCCATGTTGGCCGTGCGCCCGCCCGGGTCGGCCGCCGACTTGGCTCCCGCGTGGCTGGTGACCGAGGCCGCGACCCGCAGCAAGGCTGAGCACCAGCGCGACGAGAGGGTCCACGCCGCCAGCAAGCGCGACAACCGAGGCGGCGGCCGTGGCGGTGGTCACGGAGGTGGAGCTGGCGGCGGCGCCGAGGCGGCGGGCGGCGGCAGAGGCAGAGGTGGCGATGGCGGGGGGCGCGGCCGCGGCCGAGGGGGTAAGCCCTCGGGCCGGGGCATGCCTCAGGCTTGACAGCCACTGGCGGACCGAGGGGCTTGCGACCCCCCCATCGGTCCGAGAAGGTGCCCCGCGGCCGCGGGTGCAGCCTAGAATGCCAGTGACGGGTTTGCCTGGCTCGCTGACGCGGGCCCTGCAGTGGAAGGAGGCCGAGGCCAGGTCTTTCTTTCCAGTACCTCTACCTCATCGGCCACAGCAAGGAGCTTCCTCTTCCGGCAGGTTGAGGACGCGCTGGGCTCGGCGCATGCGTGCGCGGCGTCGGGCCTGTGGGCTCATCGAGCTCATGAACGGGATGGGCCGCGGATCCCTGGAGGCGAGACCAGCGGGCCAGCGTGAGCCGAGCAACGACGACATGATGCTGGCCTGGCAGCTCGTGCAGCAGTGTGCGTTACAGGACGCAGCGCGGTACGAGCGCGACTGCCGGGGGCTTGCCCCGACAGGCGGTCAAGGGGCGGATCTTGCCTGCGACCGAGGACCGCAGGATGCCTACACAGGAGAGCGCAAGGGTGCGAGCAGGCATGTGATGATGTGCGCCGCGGCAGTTGCAGAACCCCCCGACGACATGGTCGTGGACCTGCTGGAGGCGCTGCCTGACGGCGAGCGCCAGTACTACTCGGACGAGCTGAACGTTCTGGACTACAGCGGCAAGTCGGGGGTCCTCTTCGAGGAGCTGGAGGAGCGTTTCGCCTTCGTGGGGGGCTCGACGTCCGAGTGCGCCCGCTACATGATGCGGGCCGATTTGCCGAAGGACATGTGGACGTTCGAGGGCCCCAACGACGTCCAGGCCTACTGCGGGTTCAGCTGTGTGCCCAAGAAGGGCCCCACCAAGCAGCGGAAGGTCCTGATGATGTGTGCCAGCAACTACGTGTGGGCCGACCCCCACCAGCGCGGAGACCACGGGATGCACGGCGGAGCGGCCATCGCCTCCATGTGCGCCCCGACGGACGAGTGGGGCGTAGCAGCGTTCGACGAGGACAACGCCTTCACCCGCCTCCGCGTCCCCGCTTGGATGGCCAAGTGGCAGGCTTGCCCGCCGATCCGCGCCTGCTGGGCGCGGGGGGAACTCAGCCAGCGCTTGCGCGACTTGGTGGGGCCGACGGGCTGGATAGCCCCCTGCTACCACCGCCTGGCCATGGGCGGCTCGCGCTCCGTGCGCCTGCTCATGACGGTCAACATGGCGATAATCGGCAGGGCGCTGCTGGGCGTGGGCGCTCGCTTGGGGGCGCTCGCGGGCGCCGCGGAGCCCGCCGAGGGCGGGGCCAGCGGTGCGCCGCGCGCCTCGCCGCCCGAGGACGGGGGGCTGGAGGCGGACGACCTGGGGGATGCCGGACCTGAGGACGCTCAGCAGCATCGCTACGACGACGACTGGCTCGGGCAGCAGTCCAGCTGCCGTGCCGCGCCGCCTAGCCCGTCGGGCTACAGCGTGGCGGAGTGGCTAGAGGCGGTGAGGCGGGCGAAGCGGGACGACGAGCGTGCGATGGTGGCGATGCATCTCTTTGCTGGCCGTCGACGGCGTGGCGACGTTCAGGAGGTGGTAGAGAGGCTGGCGATGGAGCGGAGCCTGAGGGTGCTCTTTCTTTCTGCCGATCTCCTTGACGACCCGCGGTGGGATCTGGCCAGCCCTCCCACCTTCTCCGCTTTGATGGAGCTGTGCGAAGGCGGCTGGGTGGACGTCGCGCTGGGAGGCCCGCCCTGTTCGACCTGGTCGCGGGCTCGCTACAATCGTCGCCGACCAGGGCCGCCGCCAGTGCGCTCGCGGCGGTGCCCCTGGGGGCTGCCAGGCCTCAGGGCCTGGGAGGCCGCTAGAGTAGCGGAAAGTAACACCCCGACGCTGAACTTGTTGGCACTCTGCGAGGCGTGCGGCCAGAGTGGCGGCGCTTTCCTCATCGAGCACCCGGAGGACCCAGGGCAGGCGCCCTACCCATCCATTTGGAACACGACGGAGATGCAGGACTTCGAGACGAGGCGCTCGTCTCAGAGAGCGCGCCTGGACCAGTGCATGCTGGGCGGACGGACGAAGAAGCCCACATGCCTGAGCGGCGCGCTGCAGGGACTGAAGGACCTGGATGAGCTGCGGTGCGACGGGCCCCATGCCCACGAGACGGCCGAGGGCAAGTTGGCCGACGGCACCTTCCGCACGAGCCCGCTGGCCCAGTGCCCCGAGGGGATGTGCGAAGCGCTGGGCGCTTTGATTGTCCAGACCCTGGCCATCTTCGAGCAGACCGGTCTGGGCGGCACCGGGTGGCGAAGGCCGCCGGAGGCCGACAGGTCGGTCACCGCCTGGAGCTCGCGGAGCACTACGGCAACAGCGGTGGCCGTGCGGAACGAGGACGTGCTTCGCGGCCGTGGGCTGGTGCTGGACGGGCCGCAGATGGCGACGGGGTGGTGATGGCCGGTGGCAGCGGCTGTGGCCCACGGGCCACAGAGAAGATGCACCATCTCGCGGATGCCCTGGCCGAGGCCGGCTTCGTGGTCACCGACCGCACGGAGGCTAGCGACATGCAGAAGGTGCTGAGCTACGCGCCACAGGCGCGCCCAGCGCAGCTGCGCTTGCCCCCGGAGAGGGCGCGGGAGCTGGTGCGGCAGCTGGAGGAGATGGGCGCCACCCGCGCCCTCCACACCGAGGAGCTGCGCTCGCTCTTGGGGGTGTGGATCTGGGGCGCCCTGCTTCGGAGGGAGCTACTATGCATGCCCAGCGCCGTCTTCAGGCTCCTGGAGAGGCACCCGCACCAGCGGGTGTGTACCTGGGCGACCGTCCGCAGGGAGCTGCGAGCTATGGCGCAGGTAGTCCCGTTGATGTACGCCGACCTGGGAGCCCCGCCAGCCCCCGTGTATTTCGCGGCGGACGCCATGGGCGCCAACGTGGAGGACGACGGCGGCTGGGGCATACTGGTGACCGACATGAGCGAGGACATCGCGAAGGACTTCATCGACACGGGCGGCAACTTGGGTTACACCGTGGCGCGGCTGGACGGCGAGCTCACTGGACTGCGACGGCCCGAGCAGGTCATCCGACGGACGAAGCCCTTCAGCCTCCTGCCGGATCGCGTGTTCAAGCCCGACGAGGACTGGACGATCGTGGGCGCGGGGAGGTGGCGGACGGCCGACCACATCGCGCTGGGCGAGGGGCGCTGCGTCGTGAAGATCAGTAGACTGGCGGCCGCCACTCCGGCCCTCCACCGCACCGTGCTGCCGATCCTGGAGGACAACCAGCCAGTCTCAGGCGCGGTATGCAAGGGCAGGTCCCCGGCGCACCATCTGAACCACCTGTTGCGTCAGAAGACCGCAGCAGGGTTAGCATCTCGCACAAAGATTTTGATTCCATGGGTGGAGACGCTCAGGCAGCCTGCTGATAAGATATCGAGGTGCCTGACTCGTGCTGAGCTCCGCGGCCTACCTCATGTCGGGGCCGAGGAAGCTGGACAGCACTTCTGTTGAGAAGGTTAAGCCGCACACCCTGGCGGCTTACAGGGCAGCGGCTATGAAGTTCGTGACCTACCTGGACGAGCACGGCTTCGTCCCCGACGGGCCCGAGCAGTGGGGCGACCTGCTTGTCGAATACAAGAACGACATGCAGATGACCAAGTGCAATTTCGAGTACGCCGTCGCGGCGGTGGAGTTTGTCTTCCCACGCCTGAGAAGGAGGCTGACGTGGTCCCACTCGGTGATCGATGCATGGCGAGTTTCGGCAGAGGTGAAGCATGCGCCGCCGCTCGGCCGCGCACCTGCTAACCTGGCCGCTATCTACTTCTCCTGCTGGGGAGTACCGCGGCTGGGCGTAGGCTTGCTGCTGCAGGTGGATCGCGGCCTGCGCCCGTCGGAGATGCTTCAGCTGCGAGCAAAAGACATATCCTTGCCATCGTCTAGAGGGGGACCGGATTTGCAGCCAAATTGGGTCATCAACCTGGGGGCCAAGTCGGGCACAAAGGCCAAGAGAATGCAGTTCGCCATTATTTTGGAGCAGGGCGGAGTACTGGAGAACCTCCTACACCGAGTAGTCTTGGGAACGCCGCCCGAGGGGCTCCTCTTTCCCTATTCTCTCGTCGACTACAGGCTTCGGCTCAAGCAGTTTGAAGCAGCCTTGGGCCTCGACATACACTGGACGCCTCACTCGGCGCGCGCAGGGTTCGCCAGCGATTCCGCGGCTCGTGGTGTCCCCTTCCAGGACATCAAGGAGGCAGGACGGTGGCTCACGGAGTCCAGCCTCCGCATCTACGTGGACGTTGTCACCGCCTCCAGGGTCCTGGCTCAGGCTGAGCAGCGAGGAATCGCACCGCTCATCCGCGAGGCGGCCGAGAAGCTGCCCAACTACTTCCCGGAGGACATCTTCGGCGAGGGTCAGGGCATCCAGCATGCCGCCAGCGGGCTGGCGCAAGGGCCAGGACGGCTCCTGGGTGCTGCCTGCGGAGGGAGTCCCTCCAGCGCCGCTGGCGGGGGGCCGCCGGGTGGCCTCGCCAGCACCCCGAGCGGCGCCAGCCCAGCCGCCTGCGCCAGCACTAGGCGCACTGGTGGATGGGCTGCTGGCGGGCCCGCAGCAGCCGGGGGATGCAGCAGCGGGCGCGGGCGCGGCCGAGGCCGAGGCGCCGGCGCCAGCGGCCCCTGGCGTGGCAGCACTGGGGCCCCCGCAGCCGCTGGTGGCGCAGCCGCTGGCAGCGGGCGCGGCCGCGGGGTTGAGACGCGCGCGCTGGAGCAAGTGGTCGCTGCTGCGCGCGGCCTGGCTCATCGCAAGGTGGTGCGGACGATCAACCTCGCGAGGAGTGACGTGGGCGGCGGTCGCCGCGATGCTGATCGGGTGGCGCTACATGGCCGGGCCGCTGACCCACGTCGGGACCATGATGGGCGCCGTGGCCAGCGTATCTGTCTCGGCAGGCAAAGTGGTCGACAGCAGCCTTGGGGCAGTCATCACGGCGGCACAAGGCGTGTCAGACTTCGCCGCGACGTCGCCCCGCAGCTCGGCGAGCCTCCTGCAGGAGGCCTGGCGCGGAGTGGACATCACCAACCTTCACGTCCGCCAGCGCCACGCCGAGCGGCTCGCGGACGACCCCGAGATCTTGCAGGATTGGATCCAGCGCGAGTTCCTGACAGGCGAGCCCCGACCGCCTGGAGCCGAGCAGGTCGCCACCGCGATCGCTGAGGCTTCGGTTGCCATACCTCACGTGTCGGAGAGATGGCAGATAATGATCTGGCCCAGTCAATACCGCGAGCTGCACATGACACTCGACCTGCTGCCGTCAGGTTTCTACGGAGTCCATATGGTCGAGCGAATCGTGAATTTCTCGGTCCAGTGGAGCAACCCAGTGTGGAGTAGCCTCGACTGTGACATCAGCTCTGAGAGAGATACAGTCGTGGCTCACATCAACTCCACTTTGGCAGGGCTCCCGCTCCCCGAGATCCGCTACATGTCCATGACTGATCGTGAAATCCAAGTCGCCAGGCTCCCAGGTGCCTGGATCAATATTGCCCGTAGGTTCGTGCGTGCTGTATATATGGCAGTGAAGAGTGTTTTGCAGCTCGTTTTGTTCGGAATCTAGGGTGGTCACCGAAGATATATGACTTTTCTGGAGCACACTGCGAGGGCGGGCCTGGGGGCTTGCTTTAGGTTTTATTTGTGTTCCAGGTTCCTTCTCAACTCATCAAGGTCCGCGCGCATTTTGTGCCCCGGGTGAAGGACCAAGCTGTTGAGACACATACAGCTCGCGAGCGGAGGTGGGTAGAGCTCGGCGGCTAACTTGAAGTTAGCAAGCCTAGCAGCAATTTTATTGTACTTCTCGCCTCCCCAGCAAAACATTCCAAGGGTGGGTCGAAACGGACACCATCATGGGATAATAATCGTAGAGCATGAGTGTTGATGTGCACCGACAGTTTGGGGTGGGATCGTGGAATTTTCCTTGGAGCCTCGGAGCCCGCAGGGGCGTGCCAGCTTGTGGGGGGGCCTTTTCGCCGGTGGGCCACGTTCCCGGCCTGGCTCCCCTCGGCCCTCCAAAACGGGTGGGCTCGGTAGGTTTGGTTTTGGTTGCCCGTGAAGGCCCCCTGCCCTCGCGTGTGCTGCACGGCCTGCTCCGCAACCGTTTCATGTGGCTCCAATCTGGTACAGATTATCGCGACCCCCCCACCGTCCCCCGCCGAGCCAGAGCTCGGCGGCAAACTTGAAGTTAGCAAGCCTAGCAGCAATTTTATTGTACTTCTCGCCTCCCCAGCAAAACATTCCAAGGGTGGGTCGAAACGGACACCATGATGATGATGATGATGATGATGATGATGATGATGATGATGATGATGATGATGATGATGATGATGATGATGATGAGATGATGATGATGATGAGGATGAGGAGGAGGAGGAAGGAGAGGAGGGGGAGGAGGAGGAGGAGGAGGAGGAGGAGGAGGAGGAGGAGGAGGAGGAGGAGGAGGAGGAGCAGGAGGAGGAGGAGGAGGAGGAGGAGGAGGAGCAGGTCCTCGCCGACCGCGCACACGCTGTAGAACGCCCCTGCCGACCACGTCGCGTCCGATACGAACGCTGATAGCATTACATCGGAGGATATTGAAGTGCCTATCGTGGTGATTTGTGACTACTTGGCGTCTCCGTGGGTACATGCCCGCTGATAGATCTGTCGTTGCAGGCGCCGTTTAGACGATTGACTTGGAGTTTGGAGAAGTTGATTTTTGGAGGCAGGGGTCGTCCACTATCATGGCGATCCTGTCGTGTGGAAAGGCAGGGGCCACAACAAGATGCCCGATTACCTCGTCAACGTCATAATGGAGATGTAGAAGTCCTGAGAGTAATTCTGTCCACCGAATAATGCTGGAAATGTGGCGGCCCTCGTGCCTTTCAGCTTCGCTGCAACGTGGATTCTGGAAACGCATGTGCAGACAGATCATGGGATTCCCATGTTTCGATTGGCGCGGGAAAGTCTGACATGGCGACTCCAGTTGTTTCTTTTACGGTTGCATTCGACAGTAGCATTGAACTTTTCGATGCATTCGGGGCGTGTCTTGTGCTCAACGTTGGACATTGAGGCTGGACCACGTGACATTTAGGTGCCTATCCTAGTTGGGATCCGAGCTGGGCCGAAATAAATAGGAGGAGGAAAAGGAGGATAATGAGGAGGATAACGAGGTGGAGGGGGAGGAGGAGGAGGAGGTGGAGGGGGAGGAGGAGGAGAAGATGGAAGGCGAGGAAGGGGAGGAATGTGGGGAGGGAAGGGAGGGCATAATCCCATCTGCGTGGGCCCACCAAGGTCGCCGCACCCGGCCTCGGCGCAGGACGCTGCGCCGAGGAGGGGCGCGTGGACGGGACGCCAGTCGGTCGGGGATCTGCTCTCGCGCTGAAGCTGTTGGTCCTCCTCGTGCCCCCTCTCTTCTCCTCCCTTCTGCTCCTCGTTCCTCATCCCCCCGCTCCCCCGACCCGTCGTCGTCCTCCTCTTGTATCCTTCCCTTCCCCCCCTGACCCACTCCCTCCTCCTCCCCCTCCCCCGCCTCCTCCTACTGCTCCAGTTTTTGTTGTTGTTGTTGCTGTTGTTGATGTTGTTGTTGTTGTTGTTGTTGTGGTTGTTGTTGTCATTAGTATTATTATTGTTGTTGTTGTTGTTGTTGTTGTTGTTGTCATTAGTATTATTATTATTGCTGTTGTTGTTGTGGTTGTTGTTGTTGTTGTTGTTGTTGTTGGTGTTTCCATCTTCCTTCCTGCGTTACCCTCTGGCTTCCTCTCGCTCCCGCCCTCCCACCCTCCCCATCCCGTCTTCCCTCCTCTTTCCTCCTCCTGCATCCGCCCTCTTTACTTCACTGCCACTTGCACCTTCTGGGGATCAGCGACGGCGTCTGCTGATCACTTCCGGCCTCCGCCGTTCCAGCTGTTGCTGTCGCCAACTGCGTGGCACTCCCGCTGCCATTCCTGTCGCTGCCGGTACTCCAGCCGCTGCCGCCGCCGCTTGCGCGGCATGATCCGAACCGTGGTGGGCAGTGCGCGCACGGCCTCCTTCTGCTCCTCCTCATCCCTCTCCTCCTCCTCCTCCTCCCCTCCTCCAGGAACCGCCCAGGCACAAGCGCCCGAAAGCTTCTTGCAGCGCAGCCCCGCACACCACATCTCGGTGTGCAGGCAGCGAGGGCAGAGCAGCGGGACGGTGCCACTCGGGCTGCAGCGGCAGGCGGTCTATTTCGCACACACACACACACATACACCCACCCCCCCACAATCCGCATAATGGAGATGATTTTTCATAATGTTCAATGGGCAGACTTTGCGAGACTCGAAGGGATTGCAGTTCAGAGCGAGAGCATCGGCATATACATTGCCATTTGGACGGACGTCACGAAATGTCAGTTCCCCTCTCATCAAGCGCTGCAATTTGGATGGCGCTAAGCTCGAGGCACGAGCAACTCTTGCGATTTAGCAATACTGTACGGCAAACGTCTGCGAGGGAAATTGGTGAGAGTCGCCACGCCCCCCCTCATCTTGGAGTCACGGGCAGAGTGGCCATGGCACAGTTCAACATGAGGAGCACATCACTTGCAGCATTCCCGATATACATACCGCCGAAAAGGCCTCGCAACCAGCATGTTGCGCACGATTACCAACAGGATTTTGCAGTGGGTCGAGCAGGAGAGTGACAAGTTCGGGCACTCATGTCTCCCCGTCGTCGCAGGCGATTTCAATTCCAGTTTTGGATGGCCGACACTGGAAGGCGAGGGCGCAAGTTGCAAAAATATGCGTGAGCACGTTCCTTCACGACCATGTGCCAAAGTACGTGAACTTAGACATGCATGTGTTGCGCGCGCATATTAGCCAGCTCGCGCCGCCAGTCAACAGAGGCAGCATGATGAGAGCATGCAGCGACGGACACCGACGTGTGGATTTGATTTTCTGTTGCAGGAAGTTGAGGAGCAAACAGAGCAATCAGTGAAGATAAATGGCGAGAGTGCTGGGATCAGCGACGCATTGAAAGAGGTTCGCAGCTTTCGTCTACTTTAATACGTGATGCCATGACAAGAAGAACCCCAACATAGCAGCACAACATCACTGATTGCCGGAAACTGCGACACGTGCGAGTTGACCTATTGAAAGAACGCGCAAGACTGCGCATGGAGATTGCGAGAACGGGGTCAACAAGTTTCGAGGGAGACGGGCCGACGCCTTTTTGATCCCATAGGCAGGCAGCTTCCAACATTACCAAGAACAATGAAACACTTACGTCGGGAACGCAAGAGCCAGCGCACGACGGACATCACTAGCGATATTGGCAAAGCATGGAAACAGAAACGACATGCCGATTTCCATGGATTGCGAGCCATATTGTCAAATACGGGGCGGGGGAAAAAAACGATTCCTTCTTCAAACCTCGACAAGGCATGGCAGTTCAGCAGTGGGCAGATGGCCTTTCCCAGCTGCCCCAGCACGGAGGCGTTCAGAGCGAGAGCATCGACTGGCGGCAGTGGACCGATGACCGCGCTTTCCTGCCCCACCTGTTTGGCGCCCCCGACCTAGTTGACCTCGCAGAAGATGACCGGGCAGGACAGGTTCAATACCGCAGGCGGGCCCAAAACGACGAGCAGGACCAGCGCGGGGTGCACTCGCAGAGGCCACATGCATGAGCATCGGCTCCTGACGTTACAATCGCGAACGCGATCGCAAATTCGTGCCGACAGTTTTTACCAGGCGGCGCAATGATCTGTCAGCCCTCGTTCGGCTGGTAGGACAAGTATAAGTTGCGTGGGGGTCGGGCCTTCTCGCGGGGCAAGAACAACTGGCTGCAGGGAGTTAAAGGGCCGTGAACCCCAGGCTGTTTCGACGCTTTCGGGACGTCCTATTTCGGATACCTTCGGGTAATTTCCAGGGGGGCGACCCCGCCAGACAGCGCGCGGGCGGGGCTCACAGGGCGACGGAGGAGGGGCGTGTACTTGGCCCAGCAGCAGCAGGCTGGAGGTGCAGAACAGTAAAGATGAGCCATACCAGTGACAACTACGGAAGCACGTCTGCCTTCGCATGCGCTACCCGCAGCAGCCTCGCACATTTGCGTGGCCAGGCGTGCCGAGCAGAAAACGCTCACCTCGCAGACCAAGCAGTATTGCAAGCCACTGTTCATGTGGAAGTGATAGACAGCGCAGGGGGTTCTTCCATCCGCATAGTGGAACGACCGTGGGCCACTCGTTAGCCGCAGGAGACTTTGCGGGCATTTGCTCGCCCGCGTTGCGTCGCTGGAACGTCAGCCTCGCCGAGGGCGACGTCGGCTATGCATGGGCTAGAGGGAAGTGCCCAGTGACCAACAAAGATGTAGACGTCGGCGTGCGATCAGTTGTAGACGACGTACCAAATCTACACACGCACGCACATGCGCCACAAGCGGGGCACATCCATCAGCAGCTCAACCACGCCGCGCACGGGCTCCAGGATTTCATTCGAAGAATGGGCACTTCCTGAATGCAGATAAGACCAATCATCTCATTTGTTTTTTTACGGGCAGGGCCCCTTCGAAGCCGCTCGAGAACCATCCAGACAACGCAGAGTCCAGACGGAAGTGCGCCAGGAAGTGAGAGCCCCGGGGCCCATCATGAGTTTCGACGGAGCGCTGAGATCGGGACAGAAAGAGCGCATCAGAGGGCCTGGGCCGCGCTGAGGTTGCTAGGCGAAGTTTGGCACCAATCTCTCCATCACTGCCTGCTTCGTACCCTCTTCCTGCGCGTCGTCTCTAGCGCGGCGGTCGCAGGTCTCGCCGCGTTCGCGCTGCCGAAGGAATTCACTTGCAGGTTGGTCCGTGTCCTTGCGCGCGTGTTCCGCTGTTCGATGCAGGGCGAAGCGCGGCGTGAGTTTGGCGGTCGAGTGAGGGCCTTAGCAACGGTGAAATTTTCGAGCTTTGGAGTATTAGCCGAACAGCGACCGAACTACGAATGCAAAGGGTCCGACGGCGGCAGCAGATAGCAAAACAATCGTGCAACCATCGGCAAGTACTCGCGGCGAGGTTCGGCACGCTGCACGCTTGAACTGGATCGATTGCTCGAGGTGCCCAGATTCAGTCTGGCTGGCAGCATTTCAGATCATTCGGCACAGAGGGCAATGCAGTGCAGGGGCGACGTGCAGGCGCTTGTCAACGTCGATGCTCGCTTCGACCAGATCTGGAGCGACAGGCAAATCATGCGTCTGGCTTTCAAGGGCCCCGTGGTTTCTAGGAGGCTTGCCAAGCTCCCCGCGGGCAATGACAGGAGCATGCTCAGCGAGGAGGAGTCGAATAAGCTAGCCAACTTACTGTCTAGACTCTAGACTGGACATCACGTCGATTGGGAGAGCGCGCGCGGACATCGCGGGGCGCCAGAACCACAACGCGGACAGCAGCAGCAGCAGCATCCTCAAAGAGTACGCGTGCACGCGCGAGATAGGGGGGGAGGGCGAAGGACTAGGGCGCGGCATGTCATTCGCGACTGGCACCGCGCGCGCGTGCGACATGAGGAACCTGCGCCCAATGATAGTTCGCGCGAACGCATGCCGATGGTGCCGCACATGTTTCGCGAGTCGAGCCACTCGTCTGCGACGCGCCCTTGCCGTGTCTCGCGCGACCTCACTGGGGCGCCCCGCCAGAGCCACTTCTTCTGACGACAAGCCTGAAGAACAGAGCTTGTACGTTTGCGGCGCGTGTGGCCTCGGAGACATTGACCTTGGCGAGCATTTTCTTCGCGCGGCTACCCGCTGCTCTGGACCGAGCGATTGCGCGGAGAGCCGGCGTCGCCGAGGGAGGGCGGCCAAAGAGCCAGGCGATGGGCGCGGCATCATTGGCGGCTCAACCACCAGCACAGCAACCGCGCGGGGGCCAGAGGACAGGCGCCGGCAACTCGCCTGGCTCCGGCGACACTGCGCCGGGCGCAGGCCGCGGCGAGGCCCTCCTCATGCAGAAGCTCTCTCTGGACGCAGCGCAGGTGATCAGCGGGATGTCAGGCAGCATGTGGGACTTCTTCCCAACCGATGGCGGGCTAGAGCCAGTGGGGGCCGCGGCGGCAGGGGGAGTCAACTGCGCTGATGAGGTCGGGGCAACGAAGTAGTGGGATCGCCCAATCAGCACATAGGAGTGGAGTTCCTCCCGGGGATGGCGAAGGCGCAGACGCGCGAGGGCGAGACGAAGAGGATCTTGCAAGGGTTCGGGCAGCTGACCGAGGTCATTCCGATGGGGGGGGGGTTCGCGGACATCCCAGCCCACTGCAGGGCGAAGAAAGCCTACAACGAGCCGGACCAACCGACGAAGTGGAATCTCAACATTATTCTCAATCCGCTGAATTCGACGCCGTGGACCAAGAACTGGGGGGGGCGAGATCAACGAATTCAGGCAGGGCAACGCAGAGGAACCGATCGCGCCCGGGCAGTTCAACATTCAAGACCTACGAGTAGCGACGTGCAGGGCACTCAAGCACATGACAGCGGAGCAGATATATGGTGCACCTCCCCCGGCGACGTTCGAGAGGCAGCTGCAGAAAGCACTCCGAGCAAGGCAAGCTCTGGGGCAGTGAACTCGGCAGGGCTGAGAGCAATGGCGCAAGGTGGCAGTGCGGGAGCCAGAGAGATACTAGCGCGGCTGAGACCGCGAACGCGAATGAGCAGCAACCAGGCAGCATGTTCCACATCTTGAAACGGATTCGCCTCACAGCCAGCGGACAGCCCACATGCGCTACCCGAGAGCGACCGTCAACATGGACTGAGGCTCGTCGCCTTTGTATCGCCTCCCGCCGCCTCCCCCTCCCAGCTTGCGTTCTTGGGTGGCCGATGCTTCGGCCTACGTTGGTCCTGGGAGCGTCGTGTTTTTTTGTTTTGTGTGTGTGTTTTGTTTTTTCTTTCTCTCTCTCTCTCTCTCTTCGCGGGCCCTCCTCGTCGGAGCCACGGTGCCTTCGCAGCTTGAAGAACTGGAGACCCGAACGCAGCCCGATGAAGCTGGCTTCTACTGCCCAGTGAGCCCGAGCGAGGAAATCCTTCTTCGAGGCAAGCAAGCACATATCGCGCGAGGGGTTGTGGAGGGATCGGGGGGGGGGAGGAGAGAGTCAGCACAGCGAGTGAGCGGTCTCGGTGAAGACCACGGTGTGCGTTAACACACGTACCGATTCCCGAAGGGGGGGGCAATGGGCCACAGTGCCATATCCCCCCCGACCGTTCTACACTATATATATATATAACAAAACCAAAACAAATATAATAAAAATGGGGGTTCGAGACAGAACTGGAACGGCCCCATAAGGTTTAACAAAAACAGGGGGCCCGTGGGCTGACCCCACTGCTATGCCCACAATGCCGCCAGCAGCATCCGAGCTCGTAAGAAATACGAGTCGAAGCCCAGCCTCTCGAGACCAGGGATCATCAGTTGGCAAGGCTTCCGACTCCGATTCCTCCTCTTCCTCCTCCCCCTCCTCCGCTTCCTCTTTCTCCTTTTTCTCCTCCTCATCCTTCTCCTCGTCCTCGTCCTCGGCCTCCCGTTCCCGTCCTTCTCCGTTCCTTCTCCCCTTCCTCCTCCTCCTTCTCCTCCTCCTGACTCCGGTGGGTCACTACAAGTACCCCGTGGGGGCCACAATTGGCTTGGATGGCCACCCCTGTCGATGTACAGGCGTTGGCATCCAAAGGCGGCGCTCCGAAGGGGGCAGGAGGACAGGGCTCGGCTTCTCAGGCAGGGTGCTTCTCAGAAGCCCTGGGAGGACTTCTTTTTCGTCCTCCGGAGGGTTCTGTGAATCACGCTTCTTACTAAATAGCCTTGCCCAGTTTCCCCCCTGGCCCCTTCGGCGCGCCGCCAACATCTCGAGCCCACAGCCAGGATGCCTAAACCTGTTCTTCGGCAGGCCTGACATCCAAACCCTCGCATCGAGGGCGCAGCTGGGCATTCGAGGAAACTATTCCGCGTATGAGGAGGAATCCCCGTTTAGTGTGTGTTGCGGACCCACTGAACGTGTGTTTTTCTATCAAAAACCGCTTATATATTTTTGGGCTGAAATCTTGAAGCCGCATTTTTCCATTTCGCGACGTGTTTTACGACACTTTTGCGCGGGCTCGGCAACCGCCGCGCAGTCAGGCCGTCAGGATTCTTCCTGTGCCGAGGCCCTGTTCTTCGCTGTTTTGCGATGTGTGGGGGGGAAGGGCGGCGTTTTGCGCGGCCATGTTTGCGCGAACGTTCGCAATGATTGTGGGTTGCGGGATGGCCGGAGTTAGGCCATCCTGCCGTTGTGGGCGCGGCATTTTGTCAGTCCTGGTATCTGAGGGAACCAGCTTTGGCTTGGATGGCCAGCCCTGTCGGTTGACGGGCGTTGGCATCCACAACCTCGAACCTAGAGCTAGGATGCCCGCCCCTGTCTCCAGAGGACTCATCGGCATCCAACCCTCACATCGAGGGCACAACTAGGCATCCGAGGAACTTGGTCCGTACAGCTGGCCGAAGTTCGGCCATCCTGCCCTTGCGGGTGAGGCAACGCAGTGCCACTACGGGTATCCCGTGGGGGCCAGCGCGCGCACAGGGGAGTGGGGGGGGTGAACAATTTGGGGGTCAACGAGGCCCCCCCCCCTCCCCCCATCGCGCGCCCTTTTTTACTTATTCTTTGAATCGTAGCTGCTGATGTCGGGGATCGGCCTGGAGAGTGTGACGAACCCCCCAGCGGCTGGAGACTTCCCGCCGCCGCGAGGGCCCCTCCGACAGACAGTTGCCTTGCCAAGGCGCCCACTTCTGCGAACCTCCAAGCATCCCTGATTTTGCCAGGGTGGGAGGGCACGGGCAAAAGCCGATCATATCCAGCGCCAATGGTTTGAGCCAACATGATGCCGGAGGCCGCAGTCGGCTTGGAAGGGCTTGCCGGCCCATCAGGTATCGTCTGTTCGGATGTGGACCTGTACCACAATTTTTTTATCACAGGACAGGAGGAATACGCGGTTGCATTCGAATTCCGTTTTTTCCTCACACGTCGTTCGGCTCAGCGCCGAAAACAAGGTGAGAGATGTCAACAAAGTTGCCCCCCCCCCCTCCGATCGGGGGAACCCATTTTGTCAATCGCCCACCCGTTCGTCATGGTCACGGAGGAGCGTTGCATAGCGGAGGCTCAACCTTCTCACACCTCCTCCTCCTCCTCCTCTTCTTCCTCCTCCTCCATTCCTTTGCCCAACAGAACTCCTCTCTGTCGCGCCCCGAGGCTGGTCGCAAGGGCGGCCAGGCGTTTCGCCTGAGACTTCCTCACCACTTATGACCCTGAAGCTTGACCACTTTAAAAAAGGGTCACCGATTGAAGGCGGGTAGTTTTCAACATGTGGATCTCGCCATATCGCCGTGCACATCCGTTTAGCACATTTACAAGCACTTCACGGATTGAGGGTAGTTCGTTTTCAAAATTTTGTTTTCGCCTGCCGCTCACAGTCGTTTTTTAAAACAATTCCCAAGAGGTTTGTGGATCGAGGGCGGGTCGTTTTCAAAATGCGATTCTCGCTTAAGCGGCGCGCACATACGTTCTGAAGCTGTGCAAGAGCTTCGCGGATTGAGGGCGGGCCGTTTTCAAAAGGTGGTTTTCGCATTAGCGCCGCGCACATTCGTTCTTTTCATGTGACGCATTGCATGAGTTTCATGGACTGAGGGCGGTTCGTTTTCAGAATGGGGTTCTCGCCTGAGCGCCGCGCGCATTCGTTGTAGGCATTTGCAAATGTTTCTTTGGTGTCCATAGTTAACGTGCCAGGAATCGTATTTTGAGCGATTCAGGATTGTCAGGGCGCAACTGTTGCGCTGATTTGCGGTGTTGAAGTCTCAGGAACGGTGTTCTGGCACGATTCAGGAAAGCCAATGCGTGTCATTCCAGCGAATTCGTTGTGTCGAAGACCTGAGAGTCGTAATTGGGCGCGCTTCAGGATCTTCGATCGGGTGTCCTCCTACGGAGCAGTTCCTTCAGTGGAAATGAAACCTTGCAGGGGCCTATGAAAAGGGAACTTGGAGGGGGAGGGTGTATTCCAACATCGTTGATGAGTCTTGGGTCTACGCTGGTCCTCCTCATCCTCCTCTCTTCCTTCCCCTTCTCCACCTCCTCCTCCTCTTGCTCCTCCTCCTCCTGCTTCTCCTCCTCCCCTCCTCCTTCCCCTTCTCCACCTCCTCGTTGCCCTCCTCCTCCTCCTCGCGCCGCGAGAGAAAAGGAGAGGGCTGGGAGGCCCACGGGGATCTCCTCCGCGCCCCTGTCTGCGCACGGCCTGGGGTCGGCGGCGCCGATCAGCAGCAGGCCCCCGAAGCCCGCGGCCCCCGCGCGGGGGATCCGGCGGCGGCAGCGGCCGCAGCGGGCAAGTGTTCAGCGGCCGCAGCGAGTCTGTCTCGAGGTAGAGGGTTGAGTTTTTGTTGGCCTCTGGGGGGCCTCCTCGTCGGCACGGCCAGATTCAATGCTCAGGTGATCGCAAACATGGATCAAGGGGGCGTGGATTAACGACGGGCCCCATTTCTGTGGGAAATTGCGGATTTCCGCTGCCGAGCGAGGCGGTACCGGCCGCATTTTCGGGAGTGCATTTCCCCCGATCCATGGATTTGGCGACCGCGCGCCAAATCCAGGGATCGCGAATCCATGTTTGCGCGCCCCCGAAATAGGAGGTTTTAAGGGAAAGGTCGGGTATAGCCAGGACCCATGTTCAGGGGAGTCGACTAGTGGTTGGGGCCTGGAGCCCGAAACACGTAGTGGAATCGCTGAGCCAGGTCTGCCGCAGTTGCTTGCTTCTTCGTGTGGCGGCTGCCCTGGTGAATGGAATGGGACCAGGGGGACGTCCCCGGGGACACATCGCCAAACCAGGTCCCACCAGACCCAGTCTTGCCAACGCCCGAAAAGCTCCATGGGAAAGGGGCCCTGGGTGATGGGCCAATGTTCCACAACCGCTGCCATGGGCAGGACGGTGGTGAAGGGAGGATGGGGACCTCCTCCTCCTCCTCCTCCTCCTTCTCCTCCTCCTCCTCCTCCTCCCTCTCCTACCTTTGGTGGTGGTGGTGGTGTTGGTGGAGCATGGGCCCATCAGGTCCTGGAGATCGCTCTGTCGTCTGCAGCTCCCTCGGGGGCTGTCGATCGAACGGCGCAGGGCGATGAGTCTGTCCCAGCGTGGCGCCCCGGGGTCCAGATGCGGTCAAAGTTTATAGGCCTTTGGATGGGGTCCGGGCCATGGTTTCCTGGCCGGTCCTCAGAGCCAGGGGCCCAGAGAACTCTTCGCGGCCGGGGCGAATCGTGGCCAGAGAAGCTCCCGCGTTCCTTGTTTGGGTTGCATGGTGGTCCGCGGACTGTGCAGCAGCTTCGTGCGGCGCTGGCGACGCTGGCGAAAGCGTCCAGGGTTGAGAGAGTCTTCGAGATGGGTTTTTTAGGTTTCGCCCCCAATCCGCATGTAGGGGGACATGCCCGACCTAATTCTAGATGGGGTCCTAGTAGATGGGGTCGGAGGACCGCGCCGCATCGGCGATGCATCGGCGATGCGGCTCGATGTGGAGCCCGATTTTCTTCACGCCAGCGTCGCCGATGCATCGCTGATGCATCGGCGATGCATCGCCGATGCACTGGCGATGCGGCGCGATCCTCCAACACCATCTACTCAGACTCCATCTGGGAGGCCTCTAATTCATGAAACGAGCCTCTAGGGGCCAGCTAGGTTTCAGTTGAACCCGCAGGCTGATGATGGTTTTCGATGGCTCATCGCGGGGTTCAGTCTCGTTGTCGTTCCCCATCCTGTCCTGTTGTTGGTCCTCTTCAGTGGAAACCCATACCAAGGAATACCCTGCTTGCCTGCAGGGCGCCCTGGATTTCTTGGGTTTCGATGGTTTCGCGATGGAGTACGTGACATCCAACACCAAAGATTAGTAGACAACCTGGGGTCTCGGGGTTGGGTTTCTTGTGGAAGGCTTCTTGTGGTCCAGCTCCTACTGTATGCCTCCTCTTCCCTGTCCCTCTCCCCCCCGCCCTGTCCCACCTGCACCTTCTCTCCCCCTCCTCTTCCTCCCTCTGGCCCTGGGCAGACGCTCGAAACCCATCCTCTTCGTGCTGCCGGCTGCTGCTCGTCCTCGTTGATCCTGCCTGCTCCTGGTATCCCAAGCTGTTCCGATATACAGTGGGGACTCGAGCACAAGAAGCCTTCACTGGAAACCCAACCCCGAGACCCCAGGACGTCTGTGGGAACGCCGCGCCTTCCCTCGCGGAACCATCGAAACCCAGGAAACCGAGGGGCTCCCTGGAGGCAAGCAGGGTCCCAAGCAGGGTCTTTCTTTGCATGGGCCCCCACTGTTCTCATGGGAGCCTCCCGTACCATCCTGTTGGCTCTTGCGAATCGACGCTGGTCGACGCTAAATCGACGCTGATTGACGCTACATCGACGCTCACCGACGCCAATCTCATCGGCGCTATCTCATGGACTCCCCGACGCTAGTCGACGCCAACCGACGCTAGAAACCGAACTGCGAGGGTACACGAGGTTTCCATGACTCGCTACCGCAAACAACTCGACCTGTGGGTGGGTGGATCGCGTGGGCGTGCACGAGCGGGCTGCCCTTGGAGGGGCGTGGGGCGAGGGGCCAGCACCCGCACCCCTCACTTTGAGTCGTGCCCACACGGGGCGCTGCACCTGCGGCACCGTGCTCGTGTGTTCGCACGGCGTCCCCGCGCCCCTCTCGGCGCACCCCGCTCGAGAACGTGCCCCACAGTCAAGCAGTGGCGAAGCGTCCTAGCTCGCCTATAGGCCTAAAAAAGAATGTTGTAAGAACCTTTTGTCGTCTGCACGAAATGTCCTTGGAACATTTCTGGCTGAGACTGTCTTGTTTTATCACATCGGGCTTGTGTTCTAAGAGCATTGTTTTTGTTATCAGAGCATTCTTGGGTTCTAAGAGCATGTCGTAGTAGGCCTGTAGGAATGCCGGGACGGTCGGTCCCTGCTCAACACAGGGAGCTGCCCTTGTGGTCCCAGCGGGCGCGTTCGGCGTTCGCATGGCGTCCCCGCGCCCCTTTCGGCACACCGGTCTCGAGGATCGTGCCTTCCAGGGAATTCTTGCCTGCGGCCCCAGTGAGCGCGTTCGCGTGTCGTCCCCGCGGCCATTTCGGCACACCCTTCACACGCTTCCGGCCCCCCAGGGAGGTTCCACCGATGGCCCCAGAGGGTGCGTTCGCATTGCGTCTCCGCGCGCATTTCGGCGTACCCCTCACACGTTTCCTGTTCCCCGGTGTGCTCCACCCATGGTCCAAGTGGGTGCGTTCGCATGGCGTCCCCGCTCCCATTTCAGCACACCCCTCACGTGTATCCTGCCTCCCAGGGAGCTCCACATATGGCTCCAGTGGGTGCATTCAAATGGCGCCCCCGCGCCCATTTCGGCACACCTTTCACGCGTTTCCTGCCCCCCAGGGAGCTCCACCTGCGGGGGGGGCGTTGTTTGCGTGGTGTGCCCAGGAGGCTCCAGACCCTGCAGGATTCCTGATCTGATGAGGGCGGCGTTGATCACTATGGCCAAGCCTCAATTTGCGTTCCACGGGCTTTGAGACCCTGAACTCCTCATCCAAGGGTTCCGTATCCAATGCCCTCACCGTATGGCCCCAGTGGGTGCGTTCGCATGGCGTCGTGAGAGCGCGTGAGTGACTGCAGGACGTCGAGCGTGGTGTGACGTTTGTGGCGAAGCGTTCACGGGAATCGCAGGCCCCTCAAAGTACTCTAATGCATCGAGTTGTTCTGTTCGTAGTTGCTGTTCTGTGAACGAGTTGGTTTCTTCGCCAGGCTAAGTTTACCCCATGAGGGTTTGTTTTAGCCCTTGGCAGGGTTAGTCTTAGGGGCCTGGGATGACCCCAGGAGCGCCCTGGGAGGGGACCTGGGAGGCACTGGGAGGGCACTGTGGGTGCCCTAAGAGCGCCCTGGGAGCGCCCTGGGAACGCCCGGGGAACGCCCGGGGAAGGCCATGGGAGTTGTGAGCAGGGGGGGTCTGGGACGGGCGCGGATCTTGCGGCGGGGTATCTGCCTGGAGTCTCGCCGGAGCAGCGCGCGCAGAATCTGACAGTTGCAGCGTTTTTGTTACAGTTGTTTTTCCAAACGGAAAAAAACAGCACATTAGGAATCCGATTGTTACAGCGTTTGTTTGAAGCGTTTTTGATGCAATGAAAAAAGGCCCGTCGGCGATCGCATCTGGATTCGGTTACGCGGGCTCGACGGGCGATCGAAAATGCAAAACGCCCCGACAGAGTATTACCCCAGCGCCCCTAGCAGGCGCGCAGTGCATCACATCTTGGGGTGGCGGGGAAACGATATGTAGCTTGAACATCGGGCCCCTCGTCAGTGTGATGCAGTAAGCCCCAGTGGTATGCAATCGGTTCCTGATGGTGCCCTCGGGCTTCTCATTGAATCCCTCACCTGTCTTTAGACCCGTTTCGGTGCCTAGAGGACACCAGATGGTTCATCGCGTTTGCAAATGCTTCCTGTGGGCCCCACCTTCACTCGGCATTTTCGCCCAGTCGTTCCACTGGCGCGTCGCTGGTTCCACGCGGAGCCTGGGGACTCGTGTAAACTCGCAGTGTCCCATTGATTCCCAGGAGCGAATTTGAATTATGTTTGCTTCCCCCGGGCTCCCATTGGAGCGGAGGTTCTTCTCGTTGCGCCCGCGGGCCACGTGCATTCCCTGGAATGCGGTCGCGCACGGTGTCACGCCCCGCTGCGTTAGGCCCAAGCATGGCCAAGGAGGGGCCCGACCCTTGGGCTGCCGCGGCCAACTCTTTGGCGGCCGCGGGGCTTGGCGTCCTGGAAGCGGTCGCCAACGCGCGGCCCATGCTGTGGCGCCGGAAAGTCCATTGTTCCACAATGCATGCATCCACGCCGGGGCCCCCATAATACAAGCGAAACGATTTGTTTGTCACCATTGAGCTTTCGCGGTTAAGGTGGCTGTAATGGATGCGTTTCTCGTTTTTGCATAGTGCACGCCCGGGCGCGCGCGCGCGAGCAACGAGGAAACTATAATGTTCCACAATGCATCATGCACGTTGAGACCTCCAGAACACGAGTAACACAGCTTGTTTTCGCCATTGAGTTTTTGGGATTAAGATGGCCATATTGTAGAAGCGTTTGCATGATACGCGCGCGGACGCGCGCGCGCACGCGCGCGCCCGAGCAACGAGGAAAGCGCAGCGTGCCACAATGCATTATTCCACGTTGAGGCCCCCAGAATACGAGTGAAAGAGCTGGTTTTCATTATTCATTTTCTGAAACTAAGATGGCGATTATGCATCAGTTGTCCAGTTGCTTTTTTCATTTCGCACGCCCGTGCGCGCGCGCAAGGGCAACGGGGCGATTCCATTGCACCGCGTTGCATTATTCGACGTTGAGGCCTCCAGAATACGAATGAATCGTTTCATTTGCAGCGTTGAGTTTTCGAGATTCGCATGGCCATTCCGCAAGCGCGATTGCGCTGCAAACGATTGGTTTCCACCGTTCAGTTGTCGAAGTTCAGGCTGCTAGTCGGTGTGATCCTTTGCCTTGTTCGCGCCCGCGGGCGCGCGCGCGCGATCAACCAGGAAACTACATCGCGACGCAAGGCATCATTTCACGTTGAGTCCCCCAGAATGCGAGTGATGCAATTTGTTTTCACCAGTTAGCTTTTTTCTAAAGACAGAATGCTATTACTAACGCATGGGACATTTGCATTGCGCACGCGCGCGCAGCGAGGGACGCAGAGTGGGAAACAATGCATGATTCCACGGTTTCGGCTTCCAGAATATGAGTGAAACGATTGGTTTTGCACCATTCATCTCAAGAGTATGATGGCTATTGTGCGCCGGTTGTCCTAATAGGTTTCTGCGTTGCGCGCGCGGGCGCGCGCGCGCGGGTGCTCGCGCGCGAGCAGCGAGGTCAGGTCATTGCGCCACAATTTCCTTTTCTCGCGTTGGGGCCTCAGGATACGAGTGAAACTATGGGCTTTCGCAATGCAGGTTTTCTGAATTCATATGGCTGTTCGTCGCAGGTTGATGCGCTGCGCGCGTGCAACGAGGGGCGCGCGTTGTGCCGCCACGCATGGTTGCGCTTTGGCCTGCAGCATACATGTGGAACGGGTCGTTACCACTATTCAATATTCGAATGGTGGCGATGTGGCTTCGCTTTTTGTTTTGCGTCGCGCTTGCGCGGGCGCCAGCGCGCGCGCGCCCGCGCGCGCGCGAGCAAGGAGGGAAACGCATCGTGCCACATTGCATTCTTCCACGTTGAGCCCCACAGAATATGAGTGAAACGCCAGTTTTTGGCCGTTGGGCTTTCGGAGTAAAATATAGCTTTTCGGCGACAGCTTTTGCAGTGCACGCGCAAGAGCGCGCGCGCATGAGCGCGCGCGAGCACTGAGGAACGCGCATTGTATCGCAATGCGTGCTTCCACGTTGGGGCCTCTGCGGAATGCGAGTCTGGCAATAGGTGGGCACCGTGTATTTACCGAGCTTAGGGTGGCCACGCTGCATCGGCTCTTCTGCTGCGCGCGCGCAAGCGTGCGCGTGGACTTGGAGCAGCGCGTTGTATCGCGCTGCATCCTGCCACGTTGGGACCGTGCCTATGCGGATGCAACATGTTGTTTTCACGGTTCAATTTTCGCATCCAGCATGGCTTTCGGCGCCGTCGTTTCTTGCGTGGCGCGGGCAGACGGGTACTGGGAAAGTCTCATTTACGTCGCAATGTCGCATTCCACGTTCGTGCCATCAGAATGAGAGACACACTAGGTTGTCGGCCGTTGGGTTTCGACATTGTTATTGCCATTCGGCAGTTTGTTCTGCGTCGCGCACGTGGGGGCTGCGCGGTGCGCTGCGCGCCTGTCTCGCGCGGGGCGCGTGCGAGTTTTTGGGCCCGCAGTCGGCGGGGGCCCGCGCCTCGGCGTCGGCCGAGCCATGTCTACGGATTGCAGTTCGCAGGCGCGCGGTCGCGTTGGGAGGTACTCGGCGCGCGCGCTCTCAGCCGTGCGAAGCCGCGTACGTCGGGGCCGGCGGCGCGCGCGTGCCGCGATAAACCTGGAGCCCAGAGCGGGCCCATCGCGCGCCCTGCTTCCATCCCCAAATCAACGGCCCGCCGCCCGCGCTTGCGTTCGGGGCGGACCTGCTCGGCATAGCGATCTGTGCGACGTGGGGGCAGCGTCGCCGCGCCCGCCAGCGTCCATGATTGTCCGTGATCGAGAAGGCGCGATCTTGCGCTGGTCGCCCTTCGGGCCGTCAGCGCGCGCCAAGTTGCTTTCCGACTCGGGCCCGCGCAGATGGCGCGTCCCCCGTTGTCCGAGATGTCAGAACGGCCAGGGGCTCCGGGGTTCTTGGCAGACCGCGCGCTGCCCGAGCTCTGTCCGCGCCGGGTCTAGGTGCGGGGGGGGGGGGGGGGGGGGCGGTCGGCAGACCGCGCATCATTGCCCCAGGTCTGATCCGGGAGGATGGCCGAGGTGCGGGGGGGGGGGGGGGGGGGCGGCAGACCGCGCATTGCCCCAAGTCCATCCGAGCCGGAAGGATGCCCGAGGGCCCCAGGTCCATCCGAGCCGGGCGGATGCCCGAGGTGCGGGGGGGGGGGGCGCCAGACCGCGCATCAATACCCCAGGTCGCTCGCTCGCAACGCTCTCTGAATCGCCGGCCGGGAGGCTGGCCAGTGCGCGGGGGGGGGGGTCGGCAGACCGCGCGTTGCCCCTGGTCCATCCGAGCCAGGATGATGCCCGAGGTGCCAGGGGTCATAGGACAATTGGTGCCCACAGTGGGTGGAGGGCTGCACATTGGGTGGCCACTTCTGGTGGGTCACTGCAGTCTGGGCGCGCAAGCTGCGGGGGGGGGCTGGAGTGCGGGGTGCCATCCTGGTGGGCGGTGTCCGCGGTGGGTGGCGTGCTTGGAAGGGGCCTCGCCGGGTGGTGCGCCTGCCTCGAGATGCTCTGCTGCGCGGGGTGCGCGCCCTTCGGCTGGCGCGTCGAATGGGTCGCCCGTCACGGGAGGGGTCGCGCAGAGCAAGGTGCCTGCCTTGGCGATGAGTTCGACGGCGAGATGCATGCCGCGGGGGGGCGCCTGCAGGGTGGAGTGCCCTCCCTGGCGGAGATCTCTCGGGCGGGGTGCGACCGCCGCACGGGCCCGGACTTTGCGGCGTCGGGCGACCGCCGCGACGGTCTGCGTGCGGAGCCTGGGGGCGGGGGGGGGGGGGCGTTTTGGGGCGCCGCTGGACGGCTTCGCGCGCGGGCGTTGGTGGCTCCCTCGGAGATCAGCGGCGACGTTTGCGGGGGCACTTCTGGGGGCCCGTGGGGTCAGGCCTTTGCCGCTCGCTGGAAACATTCGCTTGGCGAAGGGCCGCAGTTGTGGATATCGTCTTCGGTGGAGCTCCTTATGGGGCCACGAAAAGCGTGGGGGGCGCGCCGAACAACCTTCCACATACCTTCCTTTGGAGTGTGTTTTGTTGGAGGTGTTTGACAGGATTCCATCACAACACCTTCCAAACACCTTCCATTGTAATGTTGTTGGAAGGTTTCCTCCAACACACTTTCCCAAAAAACGTTTGTCGGACAGGTTTTTGGATGTTCGTTGGGGGGGTTCCTGCAAACAACAGTCCACACATCTTCTTCTGGGAGGGTTCTCGATTGCTTCACACGAGTCACGTTTCAAACACCTTCCCGATGCGGGTTTATGGCGCGTTTCTTTGGAGGTGGAGGACAGGGGAACGGGAGAAGGAGGAGGAGGAGGAGGAAGAGGAGGAGGAGGAGGAGGAGGAGGACACAGAGGTGGATGAGGAAGGCGGAGGAGGCAGAGGAGGAAAATGAGAAAGAACAGGACGAGGAGGAGGACGACGAGGAGGAGGAGGAGGAGGAGGGAGGGAGGACGAAGACGGGGGGAGGAGGAGGAGGGAGGAGGAGGAGGAGGAGGAGGAGGAGGAGGAGGAGGAGGAGGGAGGAGGAGGAGGGAGCAGGAGCAGGAGGAGCAGGAGGCAGGAGGAGGAGGAGGAGGAGGGGAGGAGGAGGAGGGAAGAGGAGGAGGTGGAGGAGGAGGAGGAGGAGGAGGAGGAGGAGGGAGGAGGACGAGGATGAGGAGGAGGAGGAGGAAAGGAGACTTTCTCGGCCCTTCAGCTGCCCCCCCCCGAGTGGGCCGCGCGACAGGTCCGCCACGTGCAGCCCGCGGCAACCAGTCGCAGGGCAGCCCGCGGGGGGGGGGGGGGGAGGGCGAGAGTCTGAAAACGAGAGGGGTGGGGGAGATCGGGGTGAGGGAGGTGTGGCGGGAGGCAGGAGGAGGAGGAGGAGGCGAAGGAGGAGGACGAGGAGGACGAGGAGGAACATGAGGAGGAAGATGAGGAGGAATAGGAGGAAGAGGATGGATGCAAATGGGAGGTGAGGAGGAGGAGCTGGAAGAGGATGATGAGGAGGAGGAACAGGAAGGAGGAGGAGCCACTAGACTCTTCAGGCACCAGCGCAGCTCCACTTGACTCACCAGGCCTTCGTGGAGTCTGACGCCGACGTTCGCGCCCAGGAGGTAGTGAGCGCCGAATGCGATTTGGCTGCTTCTGAGAACCTGTCCTCTAGCTGCGGTGTCGAGCTTCTCGGCGCTCTCGGGGAGGACGACCGCCTGGCGCTTCGGGGCGCCGACGGGAAGGTTGCCAGCGTCCTCGCTGAGCCTTGCGAGGAGGGCAACCCAACTATATCTGGCAATCATTTCGTCGCCTCCATGAAGTTCCGCCTCTTGTGCGACGTCTGCTCGCCATGCGCCGCGTGCCGGCACCGCCTGTGACATCCGTGTCTCTGCCTCATAATCGAGACACCATAAGCTTGAGGTTTTGTAAGAACGGGATGGGAGAAGGGTGCATCGCCTTTGGCTCATTTTCCTTCTCATTCATCAACCTTCACATCTCCCATATCCTTTCGCATCCCTTGTCCCCCTTCCATTTCCCAATTCTCTACACCAGTGATCGTGAGTGATACTGTGCTGGTAACGCGCGTCGCAGTGTTGCGGTGAAACGGGTTTCTGAACATCCCCCTCGTCGTCGCCGTCACCTATTGTGCTTCAGGTGTAGATGAGCGTGACGTTCGGAGATCACGGACCGATGGCGGTAGCAAAGAGGACGGATGGTAATCCGGGTTCGGTGTTTGGGGAGCAGGCGGCAGTGCATTGCCTGAGTTCGGTCAGAAAGCTACCGAAGAAACGGTCGGAGAGACCGCGCTCGAGATTTTGAATGGAGCATCGGCCCAGGTCACCCCGCCCCCCGATGGGCACCAGCGGAGCACTGGAGGTGGCGACCCAGACCGAGCCTACGGACCAAGTTTCTGGAACCTCAGCGGAGGCGACGATGCAGGCAGGCCTGGAGTGGCGCCCACAGGCTGGTCAACAGTGGGGCCGACAACTGGCTTCAGCTACACTCTCCTGGGCAGCAGCCGCTGCAACGGCCTGTGTAACGCCCTGTGTTTTCGACACGTTATGGGAACACCAAGGCGAGTGGGACAAGCGCCCGCGATTTTTCCGAGGACAGGTGCGGCGGCAGCACCTGGGGGGGGATCCGCGAACAGGTCGGCGGCACCGACGGCGGTGACCGAAACACTCAAACAGAACGCTGGTCCACGAGGGAACCGAGGTGGAACTATGATTCGAGCCTGAGCCACAAGGCCCCTACGGCGTCACATGGCGAGAAAGTGACGGCGGGGACCCCGATTTTTACCAGGATGACCTTGACTTCGCATTATGAGTCCAACGCAGGCGAGCGCGACGTCCTCGGAGGACCAGTCAAAAGGAACGATTTTCACCGACCCAGGGAAGTGAGAGAGCTGGGTCTACTACCGAATGTGGCCCCGAAAGATGATCAGATGGCGCACCGTCACAATAATTCCAAGGTACAAGCAGGCCGATCGACTTTTCCCAGCTCTGGATCAAGACTTTCGGCGGGGGCTGGAGAACATCAACATCAACGATGACGTTCTCTGTAATTCGGCGGGCTTCGATGCAATCATTTCTAGACTCAACCTGGCGTCGGGAAAGAGGCGTGGAGATGAGAGGCGAAATTCCGCTGGAGATTGTCTTCTCGATTGCGCAGGAGACAGGGGAATCACCTCACCCGAGTATTGCGCGAGAACAGGCACAGCCTTCGACTCGGCTGCGACGCAAGGCGTCGCAATGCCAGACGCGCGGAAGTTCGTCTTCCTAGAGGGAGGGGGGCTGGATGAGAAGTCCGCGCAGCTGGTCAAGGTGCTCACGAAGGACCAGTCGTCCCACGCCTCAGCCTTGGATCAGGAGCGAAAGAAGAACGCGCGCGCACATGAATCCGCGTTCGCATCGGGCTGCCAGTCTCGCAGATCGGGGGGCCGCGTTCATGCGAGAGGTTCGGCGCGCGCGTCCTTCGTGGGCTCCCCTACTGAAGGCAGCGCGCGACATGGACATCTCACATCGAAAGTAGGGCACGGAGGACCTGCGCGACGAGCGACTTGAACTCGACGCACCAGGGCGGGGGCGGGCGCCCCATCTCGCCCGGCTCTTTGGGCCCCCCCCCGGCGCCGGCGTGGCAAGTAGGGGGCCGGCGGAGATGGCGATTTTTGGACTTGCCACTCAGCCGTGTCCTCGCTGGCTGTTCTCGAGCAGGCGGGCCTGGTCGAGGACGACGCCCCAGCGGTTCCAGCGCCCATCGACGCTGAGAGGCACAAGGCGCGGAAGCAGCGCAAGTGCTTCGAGCGCCTTCTCGAGGTCGACAGGAAGTTTTATGATCTTTCTGGAGCGCGTGGCGCTGCTGGGCGCGAGTGGGGCGTCGCGCGCCCGGTCGCCGCGCGATGGGCGGGGCCTCCTGTCGCCGGGCGAATCGCCATCCAATGTCGGAGTTGATCGAGCGGGCGAGGTGCCGCCTCTGCCGCGAGGAAGGCCACTGGGCAAGGGGTGCTCGAGCAAGACGTCCAGGGGCAAGGGGTCGCCCCTCTTCGCGGGCCCCCTGTCCGCGCGCCCCGGCGCGCTGGGCGGGGTCGGGGCTGGCGCGTCCGAAGGAATTGCCTTCGAGACCTCTCCTCCGCCCCCCTCCCGCGCAATCCCGCTGCCTGCGGCGCCCGAGGCCGCGACTGTCGACGCGGCGGCCGGGCGGGGTCTCATAGGCGAACCAGCTTTGGAGGGAGTAGATCAGCATTGGGCCTCCTAAGGGACCCCCCACGCCCCCTCTCGGAACCCCGGGGCCTGGGGCGCAGGCAGAGGAGTGGCCGTAGTCGGCGCGGCTCTGGTACCCTCGGGCAGAGAAGGGTGCTCGGGGTTATCGAGCTGGACGATCTGGCAGAGGGCGGCCCGCCTCGCCCCCCAGTTGGTCTTCAGTCGTCGCCGGGGACCGCAGTCGACCTTCCGCCAGGTCATGCAAGTCGGCGAGCTAAGAGTCGACGCGCCCCGGGAACGACACCCTTCGACGCATCGCGCCATTCAGCCAGACGTGCGCATGGCGTCTGCCGCTGAGCACGCGCCGCCAGAGTCTGCGTTTCGTTTTCAACCACAGGTGCCACGGGGGACTTCCAAGACCACTGGCAAATGCCCCTCTCCTCTCATCGCTGGCTCTTCTCTTTTTTCCAGGCTGCCGCCCGAGCCTCGGCGCGCGTTCGCTGGGGGTTCTCGGGGGCTGCGGGGGCGGTCTGAGGAGCGTCGCTCCGAGGGCGTTCTCCCGAAGGCGCCGCGGCGGAACGGAGTGGCCAGGCGGAGAGGCAGCCTCTGGAGGATTAGGGCTTAGCGGGGGTCGATTGCAGCGCAAATCTTCAGGGGGTAACGCAGCGGGTGATGACGGCCTTGCCCCTCCAGCTGGTCGCAGTCCTTGATGGAGGAGGAGGGGGAGGAGGAGAAAGAAAAGGAGGACTTTTCCATCCCCCTCTCTCCCCAGTCTCATTTATGGTAGGTGTAGTGTTAAGTCGGGCCTGTCCCTCTCACGGGAGGAATATCCAAAACAAGTGAAACATAGTCTGGAACCATTTTGGAGTATGTTTTGTTTGATTTTTTCAATGGGCAAATCGTCGAAAATCCCCCTGTAGGAGGACAGGCCCGACTTAACTGTAGTGAAGGATTGGCCCATCAGTCCTGCGGTCCTTCCAGAATCCGTCGCGCCGCGCCGCCGCCGTGGCCCCGCAGGCGAGGCAGGCCGGGCGCGGCACCTCGCGCTGCGAAGGGTGGGCCTGGGGCGCCAGCGCCTCCACCAGAGCACGGGGCGTTCTCGGCGTTGAGGTGCAGGGCCGACCGCGCGTTCCCGGGGCACTCCGTGGACTTTGGGTCTAACCGCTTGCGCCGCGCGCGCCAGCGCGTAGGCCTCTCTCCTCGACACCCCCGGGCAAGTGAGAGCCTGGGAGGAGGCGGGGCCCGCGCCGCGGCCCGCTGCGGCTTCGCCAGGCGGCGCGTCGCGTCGGCGCCGTCGCAGGCCGCGCCAGCGGCGGCGCACTGGCGCGCCGCGTCCTCTGCGAAGACTGCGGCCTGGCGGATTTTGTCCGGCTGCGGAGGTACCGACCGACCATAAGCTGCAGCGGACTTAGCCGCCTTGTCGGCCAGCCTTTGCCAATGCCACTCGCGGTGGCTGATCAGGCCGCGCTCGACGTCCTGGCGGCGGCTGTGCGATGGATCCTGCCGAAACACCAATCCGTGCTCACCGACGACGCCGAACTCCGCGACGAGCCGCCAGAGTTGCCGCCGCGGGCGCGCCTGGGCGAAGTCGTGCCGCGTGGGGGCATCCATGCCGAGCAACATCACGCCCTTTTGGACGAAGCTCGAGTCGACCGCGGCTTCGACAGGCGGCTGGCCGCGCCGCAGAAGCTCGATCAACGCCAAGAGCTCGCCCCCGCTGGTGTCAACGCAGGGCTCGCCAGGAAGGAGTGACACCAGCCCGCCTCGGAAGCGGATCCGTCCAGGAACACTTGCCCCGACGCCTCGCAGCCGTCGTGGGCGCCATGCCAGCGGCGCTCGCAACGTCGCCGCGGCCTGCCCACGAGCGGGGGCGGCCCACAATCAGCGCTCGAGCAGCAGCCGGATCTCTGGGAGGTCGTCCGCGCGAGCCCTCAACGTCGCCATGCGGCCGACGAGCTGGAAGCCGCGCCAACCGACAGCTCAATCGCAGTGGCGATGCAAAAGCATGCCAGGTGAGACGCCGCAGCGGCGGCGCACGTCGCTCGCCGCCTTGCCGACCTCCGCCTTGCGCGTTTGGCACCATTGGCCGCTGGCCACGAGCGATGCCAGGTACCCGCGCTCTTTCGGAGAGAGGCGCACCCCAATTGCCGCGCGAGACCCCCCAGACAACATCCAGCAATTGGGAGGTCTGGCCACCCTGAAAAGCATTTACACCACTCAATATTGAGGAATGCTTGGGGACCCGAGAGCTTCTCGCTTCGAGCTCGGTGGCACAGTGGCGGATCAGGAGCAGGGGGTGATGATGGCATTGTTGATGTTGGTTGTGAATGATGTGTTTGATGATGACGATGATGATGGCGGCGGCGATGATGTTGACGATGGCGTTGTTGCTGCGCTTGTTGCTGCTGTTGCGGTTGCTGTTGCTGATGATGGTGTTGATGATGATTGTGGTGACGACGACGAGACTCATGATGATGCTGTTGCTGGTGATACTATGATGGCGCTGATGCTTATGCGGATGCTGATTGCCATGATGATGGTGATGGTGAAGTTTGTGGTGGTGGTGAGTTTGCTGCTGCTGCTGATGAGGATGATGATGAAGATGATGATGACGGTGCTGATGCTGATGCGGATGATGCAGATGATGCTGATGCTGCTGATGCTGATTATGATCACCATCATCATCACGATCATGATGCCGATGACGATTGCGTTGATAATGGCGGGGCGGAATGACATTACAATTGCGGACTTGAGGATGGTGATGGTGATTTTCAGGAGTAGGCGAGGGGGGAGGAGGACGACGACGACGGCAACCATGAGAAGGACACTTTTGATGATACGTGTGGGGTGGAGGAGGAAGAGGAGCACGAGGAGGGGACACGGGAGGGACATCAAGGCTGTGCGGTGATGGGGAAGTGCGGGAGCAGCGCGCGCAGTTGAACTTCTGGAGCCGCTCTGATTGTTACCGATGTGGGAACTTAGCCTTGGCGGAGCGAGCACGCTATATGCCGAGCGTTTGTTTACTCGTAATGTGGTTTTGCCCAAACTGTTCTTTGGCCAAGACTTGCAGTTGTGTGGCATGTACTCTAATGGTTGATATGCCTACCCTGGACCAGGCGCTGAAAGTACCGCGTGTTTGCCATGGTGTGCGATGAAGCACGCGTGAGCGGCAGTGCGTAGGCAAGGATGCACACATCATAGTGAGAGGTGTGATGCGAGGATGAGGGGAGTGTCAAAAAAAAATGAGGGGATGGGGAGGCGAAGCGGAAGGCAGAGGCGATGAGACGCGAGGCAAGGCACTGATATGAGAGGCAGGAGGGTAGGAGGGGTGGGGAAGTGCGGGGGGCGGGTGCAGGCGAGGGGATGGCGCGGGATGCAACCGACGAGGATTGAGTGGATGGGGAGGGTGAACTCAGACGACTCGGGCGGGAGGCGGCAGTGGGTAGGCGAGCAAAAAGAACTGGGACAGAGAAGGCGCTGCGAGGTTGCAGAGGAGGAGGGACGTGGGGGACAGAGGCATGGGGCTTCATCGTGCGGTAGCTTGCACATGTACGGAGACCGCTGGTCTGTCGTGGATGGCTTTGTTCGGGGGTCAATGAGAGGATAGGGGGACGGGGAAGGCTCTGCATCCCCCTCCCTTGACCTCCTCCTCCTCCTCCTCCTCCTCCTCCTCCGCCTTTCTCCTCCTCCCCCTTTCTCCTCCTCCTTTCTCCCCCTCCTCCCCCTCCCTCGTCCTCCTCCTCCTACCCCTCCCCCTCCTCCCTCCGTCGTCTCTTCGTCACCTCCTCCTCCTCTCTCCCTCGCCTCCCCCGCTGACCCCCCCTCGTCCGGGGAGCCTCCCGCTCGTGCCTCCGGCCGAGCCTCTGGCCAGCAGGGCCGACCCCTCCAGCTCACCGGGGAAGCCCTAGGCGCCCTCGCCCCCGTGGGGCCTCCGCGCCCCAGGCCCCCCTCGCGGCGCTCCTGGGGCCTGGCATCGCTCGGGCGCGTGCGTTTTTTGTTGTTGTTTCGTTTGCTTTTCTATTGTTGTTTCCATATGCTATTGTTTTTTCTTTCTTTATTTCTCTTTCTCTTTTCATATATCTACACTGTGTCATGTATATACATATATATATATAAATATATGTGTGTGTGGTGAATGTTGTTTGTTTCCCTTTTTTCTTTCCGCTCTCGGGGAGGACCATCGAGGCCATCTTTTGGCGGCGAGCGAGGGGGGACGTGAGGAGGAGAAGGCCTTCTCAGAAGGTGTCAGGAACCATCGCGTCTCTCGTGGCCTCGGGGACGGCCCGGGCCTTCCGAGCCTGCCGAAGTTGGTGACTGCAAGCACACAAACCTGGCCCCGTGGGCCGCGTTCCGCGCGTCGACCAACATCCGAAATGTGCGCCTGATTTCGAGGAGGGTTGTAGTCCCGCTCGATCCGGCTTACTCCCATGCCCAACCCATCCCAGTTTGGCATAATGGTCCCCTGCTCTGGCTCGTCAGCTCTCAACTGTTCTCGCGAAGGCCTCCCAGGAGTACCCCCACGGTTTGGGTTGTCCTCCGATACTCCCGGCGCCATATTCAGGAGGGGCAAAAACACACGGGCACAAGCAATCGTCGATTCCCAGGAAAATATGGGAAAATATGGGAAGTGGGGGAGGGAAGACAAAAACCAAGAAAATATGGGGAAATGTGTGGGAATATAGGTATTTGTCTGTATTTGTTTATGTGTCCTTCGGCCCCTTCACATGCGCCAGGACCGTTTTTCCATCCCGAGTCATTCTATGAGGTCACCGGGGCCTGGTAATTGAGGCCCCCCGCGAGCCCAAAATGATGACCAGCTGTTCGTCGTGGCTTCTACGCGGCGCGAGGGGGTCCAGGAATCGTCCTCCCGCGCTCTATGCCTCCACGATTGATTCCGAGTAGATGGGGTCGAAGGGTCGCTCCCCATCGACGATGCATCTACGATGCGGCTCGATGTGAAGCCCGATGTTCTTCGCGCCGACGTCGCCGATGCATCGCCCACGTCGCCAATTCATCGCCGATGCAAAACACACAGACACAAGTTATCGTCGATTCCCCAGAAAATGTAGAAACAGATGGGACATGGGAATCCCAAAAAGTGAAATTGTGGGGAATCCTAATGGTTTGTGTGTATTTGTTGAATCGCTTCGCTCATTCCGCCGGCCCATCCTGTATCAATAGTGCTATATTCGGGCGTGCTCGTGGCGAGCCAGACGGTGGAGGAGGAGGAGGAGGAGGAGGAGGATTAGAAGGAGGAATAGAGGAGGATGAGGAGCAGGCCTCTCGATGGTTTTTTTGGCATTTTGGGACCAAACTTGATCGTGGACAAGACGTCCCTTTGGGTGGCATCTTGGGGTCTCTTCGGAGGCCTCTTGGGGGCGTCTTGGCAGTATTTCTAGGACCTCCTGGGGCCTCATGGGAGCCTCTTGGGGCCTCTCGGGGGCCTCTTGGGGGCCTCTTGGGGTCTCCTGGGGATTTCTCGGAGCCTATAGAGCGCTAAATGTCTGTTCCGGCCCCCGTCGGGGCCCTCTCTTGGAGCCGTCTTGGGGGCCTCTTGGGCCATCTTGGAGGCTTCTGGGGCTCTCTTGGAGCCTTCTGGGGCCGTTTCGGGGCTCTCTTGGAGGCCTTTTGGGACGTGTTTGGGCGATCTTGTGTACCTTTTGGGCCGTCTTGGAGCGCCGGTAAGCCAAAAAGGCGAGAATGCCAAAATCTTCAAAAAACCGATGCGGAATCACAATTCTTTACATCTTGGGGGCCTCTTGGGAGGTATCTCGAAGACGTCTTGGGGCGTCTTGGGGGCATTTGGGACCGTCTTGAGGCAATCTTGGGACGCTTTGGAGCGCTCTTGGCCCGGGGCTGTGGGGCCTGCCACTTAATTGACGCCTCTTTGGGGCGCTCCTGGAGTCCGGGGTCTTTCAAGGCCGCGCCCAGGAGGTCCGGCATCTCTGACCCGACCTTGCCGGGGACTTGCCGGGACTCTGCTGGGCATCGCGCCCGGGGTCTTTTTCGCCCAGGGACCCCCTGGGGCCGCCCCGCGCGCGTGAACTAGAATATTGTTAACCAGCAGCCAGAGATCTTAGCACGCCTCTGGCCCGTTGGGCGGGCGAATTATCGTGTCCCTGGGTCCTTTCACCCACCCCCCTAAGGAGCCATTTCGATTCGATCCATCCGATCCGATGCCGATCCGGCGAACCGGTTTCCGCCCTCCAAGCCGATGCGGTGATCGCCGATTACGGCACCGATGCCAAAATGCCTGGCGCGACATCCCGATGTCGATCCCGTCTCGCGACTCGACAGGATTTTCCGATCTCGACGCCATATTCCGATGCGGCGATGCCAAGAGATCCGAAGCGATGCCGACCTCGATCCCAGTTCGCGATGCGACGCGATTTTCCGATCTCGACGCGGTATTCCGATGCGGAGATGCCAAAAGATCCGACGCGATGCTGATCTCGATCCCGCTCCGCGATGCGACGCGATTCCGATCTCGGCGCGATATCCCGATGCGGCGATGCCAAGAGACCCCACGCGATGAAGGTCTCGACCCCGCTCCGCCTTGCGACGCGACTCTGATCTCGGCGCGACATTCCGATGCGGCGATGCCAACAGACCTGATGCGATGCCGATTTCGATCCCGCTTTGCGATGCTAGACACTTAAGTCGGTCCTGTCCCTCTTTAGGAGGAGTATTCAAAACTAGTAAGAAATAGTCTGGGGACGGGTTTTGATATAAAAGAAGTAACATTTGGACCAGTTTGCAAGTTTTCGTCCCACATCCGCGTGTAATGAGGGGGCACGCGCCCGACCCAATGCCAGACGCTGGTCCCTCCTCCTTCCCCCTGCCGCCGCCGCGGGGCGAGGCCGCTCTCCTGCCGGGCGCCGTCCGGCGCGTGCACGCCCAAGGACACCCGCCCCCGACCCCCTGCACGGCCGCCGCGCGGCACGGCGGCGACCGCCGCGGATCGCGCAGGTCTCGGGCGGCGCGCAGGGGGTCGAGGAGGACACAGCGCCATAGACTCAGGTCGGGCCTGTGCTTCCACAGGAGGAGTATTCAAAACATCGTTTACAAAAAATAGAACCAGCCTGGGGACGATTTCTGAGCATTTGTTGGCTATGTTTGCACATGTTTCGAGCATGTTGGATTTTTCGCCCGAACTCCCCCTGTAGGGGGGCACGCCCGACCTGAGCCCCTGGCGGCGCGCAGAGGGTCGAAGATGACACAGCGCCATACACAGAAGCTGTTGGCGCTCCGCGCGGTCCTCCTGGATCCGCGCCTGGGCCCACCTGGCCGCGCCTCCGGCGCGGCCCGGTGGGGATGAGGATGATGATGATGATGATGATGATGATGATGATGATGATGATGATGATGATGATGATGAGGATGATGAGGATGAGGATGAGGATGAGGATGAGGATGAGGATGAGGATGAGGATGAGGATGAGGATGAGGATGATGATGATGATGATGATGATGATGATGATGATGATGATGATGATGATGATGATGATGATGATGATGATGATCCTTCGCCATGGCGCGTGGAGCGCGCCAGGGCGAATGGGGGCCCGGCAGAGATCCTAGTAGAAGTCCGCGCGGCGCGCCGGCGCAGATCCAAGAAGTCCGCGCGCCGCGCGCCGCGCTGGGTGGGGGTGGGAGGGCTTCTCAGAAGCACCCCTGTTTCTTAGAAGGCGCGGGCCTTGCGTGTGGATGTAAAGCCAGCGCCTGCTAAGAAGCAGCCTCCTTCTGAGAAGCTTCCCCCCCTTCCCCGGCCCCCTTGCGCGCGTCGCCAAAAGTCGGTCACGGGTCTCTCTTTGGGAGCCCGCCAGTGTGGCACGGTAGTGTCACGTCGTATCGATCGGCGGCGAACCCGCCGATTGCGTTCAAGGTGGAATGGATCTGACGTTTTGGAAACTGCCGTTCGTTCAAGGATGGAGGATCACCGCGTTGTCAGAAGCCAACGCCGGTGTCGACACGACACGGACCTGCCGTATTCTTGGGGCCTCCCTGGAGCCCTCTTGGGGCTTTTGGGGTGCCTATGAGGGGCCTCTTGCCGCCTCCTGAGGTCCCTTCAGAGCTTCTTGGGGGCCTCTTGGATCCTCTCGGGAGCTCCTTGGGTTCTCAGGGCGCCTTGGGCCTGTCCGACACCTTCGGGGGCAGTCTTTTGGGCCTCTGTGGGCCGACGTTGGCCCTCGCTATTGGGCTGCTTTGGGCCATCTTAGGGGGGTTCTTGAGCTGTCTTGGGGCCCTATTGGGGCAGTGCTGTGGGCGCGTGCTTGGCCATCTCGGCGCTCTCGTTGGTCGCCTTGGGGCCGTCTTGGGGGTCTCTCTTGGTCTATCTTAGGCTATTCAACGCCCGAACATCTGCGAGCACGAACAGTGGTGCTACTGGGCGCACGTAAGGAGGCAGCCGCGAGCCGAGTCGAGTGTGAGCATGAGCAGGAGCGCTGGCACGCCCTAGAGGCCCTAGAGTATGCTTAGGAACAGATCTTCCGATTGAGAGCCAGGGAGATAGTTCGTAAACATATAAATAACAAGTCGTTTAAGGAAGCGAGAGTGCGGTGTGTGTGTGTGTGTATGTGTGTGTGTGTGTGTGTGTGTGTGTGTGTGTGTGTGTGTGTGTGTGTGTGTGTGTGTGCGTGCGTGCGTGCGTGCGTGCGTGCGTGCGTGCGTGCGTGCGTGCGTGCGTGCGTGCGTGCGTGCAAGTGTGCAGGTGCGTGCGATTTCGAGAATGGGGAACGGCAGCAGGAGTAGCAGCATATGGCGAAGCTGGATCCGGAGTCAGAAAGGACAGAAGAAGTCCCCGGAGGGTGGGTAGGACCAGGACGAGTACAATGCTTGATTTTTCGCGTACTCCCACCAGCCCATCCAGAAACGATGCCTAGGCAAGTTGCATTGATCAGGGAAGTGTGGGAGCATGCAGTGGAACAGAGAGGCGGGCAGCCGTCAAACCAAAGATCGGGATCTGATCAGGCTGAGCAGGCCCAGGAGTCAGCCGTGAATACCTTCGCGGCTGTTTCGACATGGGAGCTTGCTGGCAGCTGGGGCCATCTTGGGGCCGTGCTGGAATGTCTTTTGGAACTCTCTTAGGGCCCTCCTAGGCTCTCTTGGAGGCTTTGGGCAGGAGGATGAGGAGGAGGTGGTGGTGGGACGGTGCCATGAGCGCGGGCGCTGTGGTCAATCCCTTGGGAAGACAGGCCCCCACAGCTAACTGCATGGGGGGACAGGGCGTGGGCCCGCCTCCTCGAAGAACGAGAGCGCGGCCGCCCGGGGCCGCGTCCACGGCGCGACCTCCCTGTGGCGCAGCACGCGCCTCGTCTCTCTGCGGGCCCGCGCACCTCCACCCTGTTACGGGCGATGCGCTCCAGCAGGGCGGGAGAGAGGGGCGGGAGGGGAGGAGGCGGGGGCGGCGGCAGCGGCGACGACAGAGGGGAGGGAGGGGCAGGGAAAGACCCTGGCAACACCTCAACCTCATGCTCCTCGCTCAGGTCCCCAGGGAAAAAGGGGAGGAGTGGCACTCCGGAGCAGGAGTCGGAGCAGGAGTCGGAGCAGTACCACACCCACACGGCTCGAATGGGTCCGTAAACCTCTGTTTTTCAGTATAATTTTTGTGTTTGTGGTTCCGATTTCCTTGTCCTATGCCTGCATAGTCGTGGGCTTCCTCGAAATGATTTCCAATGTCCTTGACATGGAAGGCCCAGAGGTCGTCTACCAGTTTAGTATCATGGTCGTCAGCATTGGCGTCGCATTCAGATAGCGTAGCAAACTGGGCACGAATGGAGTCGGCCACGGCCTCTGCTATGTGTCTGCACATGTTGGATGGGTACGTCTTTTTTCGGCTAGTCCGAAAGTCGCCTTCCGAGGTCTTTCCAACGAGGGTCACATGCGATCCCTTGGGGTGGTGACATCTCTCTCGGCGTCCCGCACTGAGTAGCTTGGAGGCCCGAGTGGGCATCCTGAGGCCCACTAATACGTGTTGGGGCTTTGCCTATCTGGTCTGGACTGCTGTCGTGATGCACGCACTGGTCGAAGTCTACTGTATAGCAGACGTGACTCGATTGCAAGGCCTCCAGTGGCTCCCAGGAGAAGCTAGAGGGCGCCTGGGGTCTCCACCACGCAGGTGATGGATGCTCCATCCAGGCACTAGTGCCTGCAACCATGTGGCAAGCAATGAGGTGCACCATTCTCCACATCAACACACTGCCAACTTCCAATTGTTGGGATTGTCTTTCTGTGACCCCTGGCAGTCCCCAGAACCATTGATGGGTGCGCAAGGGAGGGGGCCCCCGTCGAGCCAGCAGGCTGCGCTCTAGGTTTCGCTGGGGGGGCACCCCACCGGTGCTCCAGACTCTTTTAGCCAGGATGTGTTCAGCCCAGGTGTCAATAGTACGCTGCTGGGTGAGATCTCCAAGGTCAGGGTTGATCGCGATGTCCACGCTGAGCATTACAACTTCGTAGCTCGTCGACACATGATGCCCGTCCATCCACGCTTGTATATCCCCCTCCCGTCGTCTCCCCGAGAAGAGGTTAACTACAAAGATGGTGGTCCGATGGATGCGGCAGGGTGCGTCGGACGCAGCGTAGCCTACATAGTCCTGCGGGCGGTACCTCCAGTAGCGGTCTGCATATTGTGGGCCTTCTGTGGGCGGAGCAGCCTTGGGGTCCACAGAGAGGGTCTGATATCGTTCCTGGGCTTCAGTAGAGAGCTCGTGGCAGGCCTCTGGGGTGCGCAAGAGATCCCGCATCCTGGTCATCAAAATGCGCTGCGACCAGCATCGCAGCAGGGTATAAGCCATCAGTCGGGGGTGTATGTCTGGCTGGGTAGGCAATGCGCCGACGACCTAGTCCTGCTTTTTGCTGACGACGGAGGTCGTCGACCTCTAGCTGTCGGAGCTCCTCGGCCCTGTCGGCGCTGATTGTGGCACCGTGAAGGAAGCAGGCCAGGCAGCACTTCGGCGCATCAAAGGCAAGATGGTTGCGCAGGGCACGTCGGGTGGAGAAGGAGATGGAGTAAGACATACATATGGTACCCTCTCCCATGTATCGAGACACAATGTGTACAAAACTGTAGTGCGTACGTACGATATGCTGTCGCAATCTCTTGCCGATGAACCCTGAAATACATACCACATGCACTGTTGGTCGGGGGTCGGTGCAGGAGTAGGGAACAGTGGGTGCCCTGGATCTGTAATGGGCACCGGTACTCCAGCCTGGCGTACGGTCTCGAAAAGGTGTCGGAGGCCTTCTTGGCAAGCTCAGCACTTGCTTGCGCCTTGGCCTCGGCAGTTAGAGCGGCGTTTAGCGCGCTGCGCCAAGCTGCTAGTGAGCACAAAATGTTTGCTCCCACGTTTCAAAGTATTATATAGGGTCGGGCATGTCCTTGAATCTCACATGTACTGTGCGTAGCCAGTCCATATCGTCTAAGACCCGATGTAACCATGTGGTGTGCTGCTAATGTTGTGCTGTGCGGTACACATGTGCGACCAGTCCCCGTAGAGTGGTAGTACCGTGGTGTATCAGACGCCCAAGAAGCCTTAAACGATGTACCCGAAGAACCGAGGCAAGGGTGGCGCCTTGCGCACGGGCCAGGACATACATGTCGGTTTCGGGGTTACCCTGAGCTTTACCTTGGGGCAGGCGGAGCACTTGGCGGTATTTGTTGATCATGATGTGTTGCAATTGTGTGTGTTGCGCATCGGTCTGTCGAGGCCACGTCCCTGCATTGCTAAGATCCGCCGTCGTAGCTGTTGGCCTGAGCTCTGAATGGAGGCTTCCCCATGTGCCAATTCTGGTCCTATGGAGGCGAGCTCGTCCAGCTCTGTACCTAGGTGAGGGTACTTGCGCACGGCTAGGAGTGGGAATTGACCCAGCACAGGTGAGTCGATGGTGAAGCGCCCTTGCATGT